ATATATATAGAAGATAGATAAGAAAAATAAGTCGTTTAATTTATTACTGATACACAGAAGCTTTATATTCAGAAGGAAACAATTAAAAGTACACACAAGGTACCATTAGCAGCTAAACAACAGGAAACGGGCGCGGGCACTAAAAACACAATAAATCAACTCAAAAATCCGCCCGTCCAGGAAAACAAACATATCAACCAAAGCATAAACTTTACCTTAATTCTCAACCTATACATCAACATAATGATCATCAACATCAGCATCAACTCCAACATATTCATCAACATTAAAATACAACAAACTCAACCTCAATACTAATTTGAACCTGGGCTTTAATAGCAACTTCAATTTCAACATTTAATATTTGACATACACATAACCATTTACCATAAACGTTATCCTTACTGTTGCAGATCGGACTATAACTTTGCAGTCCAATAATGCCGTCGTTTTCTAGGGGTATCTAATGATTCTACCCGAGTCAACTACAGTAAATTTACGACGGGACATGAGACCTTTGTTTATTTATTCAATAAATGCTTGAGCGAGGCTTCCCCTAACCGCTTATATCTGGAGCGCTTGTGTGTGTGTGTGTGTGAGAGAGAGAGAGAGAGAGAGAGAGACTATCTGATCCGCCCGTATTTATATCCCTGTCCTAACCCCCTAGCTATTCCCACGGGAATAACTCGTGACACAACAAATTATCCCCCCTGTCTACTGGCCAGCATAAAGACTACTATTGTCCTGTCAGAGCGGTCAGTCTCTTTCAAAGTTTCTTCCAGGCATCTTTTCGGGCCCGAATTTTTTTTACCGCACCCCTCCCTCCCCCCCCCCCCCCTCCCCCGAACAAAATGAAATTTATATAATTTATATAGAAAATATATACTTTTAACAGTGTCCGCCCCCCCGAAGAAAGTCTACCGCCCCCCCCCCCCCCGAAAATTTCAAGTGCCCCCCCCCCCCCGGAGAAAAAAGTTTGGAAAAAAGGAATAAACACTGGTCTCTTTGAGCGTGTCACCTGCTGTCCATCCCTACGGTGTAGGCCTACCCTGTAATTATGTAGTGAATGGATGCTTGTCGAAGTCTGACTCAAAACTTACTTGTACACTTTTCCGTAACCCTTACACATGCAACGGAGCATTTGCTATAGAAAATGTTGAAGGAAAATTGATTAAAATCTTGTTACACTCTGATGAAAATATTTACAGGTCTAATAATAAATTTAAAGAAACAATATGTTATCAAATGTTGTAAACTTCTTAACCGACAGTAAAACAATTATAGAGATTAAGCAAAAACTGAAATCAAAACACAACTAATATCAATTTTTCACAATATTTTATTTCAATAACTGCAATAATGCAGCAAAACTATATGCTACCCCTAACCATTTTTTGTGTGATGAAATACGTATACACACATATAAACACATTTAACAAAGAAAAAATACGTACACTACATGCATTATTGTTTTTAAATTGTCGAGCAATAGTATGTGTAGTTTTCATTTACCCCTCTTTTATAAGGTATTAAAATATCTGACCCTGTCTGAAAACGAATACAATCCCTTATATGCCTATAGCCTACTTAATAAAACTCATAGTGATTTAAATTAAACCCAACCTGTGAAAACAAAGTACAAGTATACTATAAAAGTTAGGGAATTTTAAACTGTTTTCTTTATGCAACGTTTTCAATGCCCATCTCAATCCAGCTATAGGGGGGGGGACTTGAAATTTTCTGGGATGGGGGGAGGTAGACTTTCTTCGTGGGGGGGGGGGGCTCCGCACTGGAAGAAACTCTTCACAGAATCAAAACTGTTACGGGCCAGTTGTAGGTTAGATTAGAATAGTTTAGAATAATCTAGAATTAGGGGAGAGTGAGTGTGTGAGTTGAGTTTACCCTAGAATATTGTTAACCCCGGTGTGTTTGTGTATTGTTATCCCAAGGTCGAATGCGGTATAAAAGCTGGAGTGAATGGTTGTCAGGGTTAGTTCGTTGGCAGTCAGCGGGTTAGTAGCGGTTAGGACGAGGGCTGTTATGGTACGCTTGAATGCATTGAGACAAATAAAAGGAGTGAAGTTAAACACGAAGCGTTGTTATTGATTTGAAATGAACCCAGAACGTAACAACTGGTGGCCAGTATGAATCAAGTAGAAGCATAAATTTGATGCTGTCCTGATGTTTGCCTGATGCTGTCCTGCCGTTGCCTGATGCTGTCCTGTCGTTTTCCTGATGCTGTCCTGTCGTTTACCTGATGCTGTCCTGTCGTTTGCCTGATGCTGTCCTGTCGTTTGCCTGATGCTGTCCTGTCGTTTGCCTGATGCTGTCCTGATGTTTGCCGGTTGCTGTCCTGATGTTTGCCGGTTGCTGTCCTGATGTTTGCCGGTTGCTGTCCTGATGTTTGCCGGTTGCTGTCCTGATGTTTGCTGGTTGCTGTCCTGATGTTTGCCGGTTGCTGTCCTGATGTTTGCCGGTTGCTGTCCTGATGTTTGCCGGTTGCTGTCCTGATGTTTGCCGGTTGCTGTCCTGATGTTTGCCGGTTGCTGTCCTGATGTTTGCCGGTTGCTGTCCTGATGTTTGCCGGTTGCTGTCCTGATGTTTGCCGGTTGCTGTCCTGATGTTTGCCGGTTGCTGTCCTGATGTTTGCCGGTTGCTGTCCTGATGTTTGCCGGTTGCTGTCCTGACATTTGCCGGTTGCTGTCCTGACGTTTGCCGGTTGCTGTCCTGACGTTTGCTGGATGCTGCGGGGATGCCGTTAGCCCGACGCTATAGCTGTTTGACAGAGTATGTAACATTATCGACTGCGAGTTGCAAAATTTTGTGATGTAGAATGTTTAGGATAGGTGCAGGAGTCATAAACCAGTGTAGCCATAGAGCGCAGGTTGACTCAAATTTTTTTTTTATGTAGAGTGGTTGAGATATAGGTAGGAGTCGTAAACCAGTGTAGCCATAGAGCGCAGGTTGACTCAAATTTTTTGTGATGTAGAGTGGTTGAGATATAGGTAGGAGTCGTAAACCAGTGTAGCCATAGAGCGCAGGTTGACTCAAATTTTTTAGTGATGTAGAATGGTTGAGATATGAATAGGAGTCATAAACCAGTGTAGCCATAGAGCGCAGGTTGACTCAAATTTTTTTTTTTATGTAGAGTGGTTGAGATATAGGTAGGAGTCGTAAACCAGTGTAGCCATAGAGCGCAGGTTGACTCAAATTTTTTGTGATGTAGAGTGGTTGAGATATAGGTAGGAGTCGTAAACCAGTGTAGCCATAGAGCGCAGGTTGACTCAAATTTTTTGTGATGTAGAATGGTTGAGATATAGGTAGGAGTCGTAAACCAGTGTAGCCATAGAGCGCAGGTTGACTCAAATTTTTTGTGATGTGGAATGGTTGAGATATGGGTAGGAGTCGTAAACCAGTGTAGCCAGAGAGCGCACAGGGTAGACTCAAAAAAATTGTGGTCTGGAAAGTTCTTAGATTCGGTACGATGCAACTGGGTGTGTATGATTTTTTTTTTGTTTGTTAGTTACACGGATGATTTGTGCTAGCTCGAAATTGTAGCAGTTCTGTATGTTGTCATTATGTATTTCAGTGTATATTCAATCTGTCATATACATTCTTCGGAATGTATATTTTTAACTTGTCTACTAGTGTATGTGTATGAAAGGCTTTGTGTTTTTTTATTTAGCTAGGATTTGTTAGTCAGTATTTGTAGTTATTACTACAAATACTTAGGTGGGGGGTAGTGTTACGGGCCAGTTGTAGGTTAGATTAGAATAGTTTAGAATTATCTAGAATTAGGGGAGAGTGAGTGTGTGAGTTGAGTTTACCCTAGAATATTGTTAACCCCGGTGTGTTTGTGTATTGTTATCCCAAGGTCGAATGCGGTATAAAAGCTGGAGTGAATGGTTGTCAGGGTTAGTTAGTTGGCAGTCAGCGGGTTAGTAGCGGTTAGGACGAGGGCTGTTATGGTACGCTTGAATGCATTGAGACAAATAAAAGGAGTGAAGTTAAACACGAAGCGTTGTTATTGATTTGAAATGAACCCAGAACGTAACAAAAACTAGTCAGGAGTTGCAAGCAATAATGAACAGTCACCAAAAATACATGTCGTTCAAAGTTAACAATTTTAGAAAATAAATGTTATTGTTCTAACAAAATTAATTAGGTTATAAAGAATAGATATCAAGATAAAAATATATTAAATTCTAGTTGACTTAGAAAGTATTAAAATATTATAGCTAAACTCAAATTTTAGTTTGAGTTCTGTAGACAAACATTTTGGTTTAATTGTTATAATCATAACTTTAGCTGCAATGAATGAATGAATACATTATTCGCGTTTTACATATTATACTATGGTTTAAAAATCCGTCAACTTGACTCTAATAAAATAAATTCAATCGTTAAAGTTATATTGCATGTAGTATTCATTAAAATTCAAATATATGTATTATACGTAATTTCAATGAATTTTTTTTTAAATTATAGTCAAGTATGTTTCCAAAGAAAGGATTGAATCGTTCCTAAGTTTTGACAACAAAGTTTTACACAAATCGCAACAATTTTATTATTATTTTTTTTTACCTTTTGAATTTATCAAATTAAAATCTGTTACTTTAACCAAACTAAAAGTTGAGTTAACATAATAAAATACAAGCTAGCGAAAGCTTGATCGTGGGTGAACTATCACTTCAAGGTGGGCTGATCTCATGAGGTGCGTTTACCAAGGTTTATAGTCGTACAGCTACGTCGATGTTAGTAAAGACTTCTATATTCGTCTGGGTCTAGGTCTGGGTCTGGGTCTGGTTCTGCGTCTGGATCTGGTTCTGGATCTAGCTCTAGCTCTAGCTCTAGCTCTAGCTCTAGCTCTAGCTCTAGCTCTAGCTCTAACTCTAGCTCTAGCTCTAGCTCTAGCTCTAGCTCTAGCTCTAGCTCTAGCTCTAGCTCGAGTTCTAGTTCTAGTTCTAGTTCTAGTTCTAGTTCTAGTTCTAGTTCTAGTTCTAGTTCTCCAGTTCTCCAGTTCTCCAGTTCTCCAGTTCTCCAGTTCTCCAGTTCTCCAGTTCTCCAGTTCTCCAGTTCTCCAGTTCTCCAGTTCTCCAGTTCTCCAGTTCTCCAGTTCTCCAGTTCTCCAGTTCTCCAGTTCTCCAGTTCTCCAGTTCTCCAGTTCTCCAGTTCTCCAGTTCTCCAGTTCTCCAGTTCTCCAGTTCTCCAGTTCTCCAGTTCTCCAGTTCTCCAGTTCTCCAGTTCTCCAGTTCTCCAGTTCTCCAGTTCTCCAGTTCTCCAGTTCTCCAGTTCTCCAGTTCTCCAGTTCTCCAGTTCTCCAGTTCTCCAGTTCTCCAGTTCTCCAGTTCTCCAGTTCTCCAGTTCTCCAGTTCTCCAGTTCTCCAGTTCTCCAGTTCTCCAGTTCTCCAGTTCTCCAGTTCTCCAGTTCTCCAGTTCTCCAGTTCTCCAGTTCTCCAGTTCTCCAGTTCTCCAGTTCTCCAGTTCTCCAGTTCTCCAGTTCTCCAGTTCTCCAGTTCTCCAGTTCTCTATTTTTCCAGTTCTCTAGTTCTCTAGTTCTTTAGTTCATTACTTATAATTAGTTCTGTAGTTCTCTAGTTACCTAGCTCTCTAGCTTTATTGTTCTCTAGTTCTCCATTTTTCTAGTACTCTAGTTCTCTAGTTCTATAGTTCTCTAGTTTTCTAGTTCTTTATCTCACTAGTTCTCTAGTTCTCTAGTTCTTCAGTTCTCTAGTTCTCTAGTTCTAAATTTTCTCTAGTTCTCGATTTCTCTAGTTCTCTTGTTCTAAATTTTCTCTAGTTCTTTTATTCTCAAGATCTCTAGTTTTCTAGTTCTTTAGTTCTCTTGTTCCCAAATCTCTGGTTCTCTAATTATTTAGTTCCCATATTCTCTTGTTCTTTAGTTCTCTTGTTCAATATTCTCTAGTTCTCTAGTTCTCTAGTTCTCTAGTACTCTAGTACTCTCGTACTCCAGTTCTCTAGTTCTCTAGTTCTCTAGTTCTCTAGTTCTCTAGTTCTCTAGTTCTCTAGTTCTCTAGTTCTCTAGTTCTCTAGTTCTCTAGTTCTCTAGTTCTCTAGTTCTCTAGTTCTCTAGTTCTCTAGTTCTCTAGTTCTCTAGTTCTCTAGTTCTCTAGTTCTCTAGTTCTCGAGTTCTCGAGTTCTCTAGTTCTCTAGTTCTCTAGTTCTCTAGTTCTCTAGTTCGCTAGTTCGCTAGTTCGCTAGTTCTTTAGTTCTCTAGTCCTTAGCTCTTTAGTCCTTTAGCTCTTTAGTTCTTTAGTTCTTTTGTTATTTAGTTCTCTAGTTCTCTCGTTCTCTAGTTCTATAGTTTTTTAGTTCTCTATTTCTCAAGTTCCCTAGTTCTCTAGTTCCGTAGTTCCCTAGTTCTCTAGTTCTCTAGTTGTCTAGTGTCTAGTTGTCTAGTTGTCTAGTTGTCTAGTTCTCTAGTTCTCTAGTTCTCTAGTTCTCTAGTTCTCTAGTTCTCTAGTTCTCTAGTTCTCTAGTTCTCTAGTTCTCTAGTTCTCTAGTTCTCTAGTTCTCTAGTTCTTTAGTTCTCTTGTTCTCAAGTTCTCTAATTCTCTAATTATGTAGTTCTCTAGTTATCTCCAATTCTAGTTCTAGCCTTACGTCTCTCTAACAATAAACGCTTATATGTGACACATAGACATCTGTTATTAAAGTGAGAAGTTTGCCATTAGGCTTTACTCCAAAATATTCATGTGTTATTATGTGTACATGTATATTATATATATATATATATATATATATATATATATATATATATATATATATATATATATATATATATATATATATTTATAGATATAGATATAGATATAGGCTTTTATATGTCCTAGGCACGCGAATTCCTAACGCCGGCTCTGATGTGTTTGCGTCAATTCATGCTTTTATGTTTTTTATGGCTGCTGACATATGAACGTTTTCAAGATTTTTTAATCAAAGATCCGGACGAATGACAACACATTGACTACGTTTAACCAAGGATAAAAATCTAGCTCTATAGTGCACATAAAAATTGCTATTCAGGATGCACCGGTGCGTGACTATATTAGTGTGCGATATCCCAAATGTCGTAATTCCCAAGCGATGTTTTTTATACAATCTGTGAACACTATGCTAAAGGCTTTGCAGCCATGCGTTACATTGAGCATACACAAGGATTGCTTCAATCTCGCAGTATAGGATTGATAGTGATTACAGCTACTTACAGCAAATCATATTTAACTTAAAATAAATATTCTTGTTCTGAGTCGCCACTACCCATTACCTTTTAGTTTTAACAAAAAATTTCCAATTCGAAAATTTGTAATAGCCAGCTTTTGTTACAAATACAAACACCAATTGTAAGAAATCTTAGTAAACTTGAATGCTTGTTTAATGTTTGTATTATATATATATATATATATATATATATATATATATATATATATATATATATATATATGTGTATATATGCGCGGTGACAGCAACTTTGTTTTCTCAAGTAGTGAAAAAAAACATGCCAAGGTTTTCATGCAGCGTATTATTTGACAAGAAGGAATATGTTCTGCTGTTTATTGCTTTAATTTTCTCAGAAGTCTATTTTATCTAAGATTCTTTCTGTTCGCATATTTGACAAAGGAACATAAAAAAACCTCTTCTAAATGTTATAAGGTATTGTGTCTCTGACTGTTAGAACCAAAGTGATAGATAGTAATATCTCAACTACAATTATAGTATAATGGTCTTTGTGCAACTTTATTTTAATAGAAATAATTATATTCTCCTATTTTCTACTTTATTCTATTTAATTCTTCTCTAAACGATGTTACTGAAATCTACAATCTATGTTCCGCTACATCTATATATATAATTCTCCTCTGCGAGCCGTTAGAAAACAAGCTGCAAGCGCCTCCTTACAGTCCCCTCTCTTTCTCTCTATCACTATCACTACCACCCTACCCCACCCCCACATGGTCTGCTGAGCTGTGGTCACGTTAATGTTTACAAACCGTACAGCCAGGTTTAGTGACGGCTATTAGGGGCAGATAATTAAGTTTGAACCGACTTTAAACTTACAGGAGGTAACTAAGAGGAGGCTGCTTTCACGGGGGGGGGGGGGGTGTAGGGTCGGGGTTAGGGGAAAGGAGGGGGGTTAGTGTTTTAAAGCAAATATTTTCAGTGGCAGCATTGGTACTGTCGAATTCACAAATTATGAATTACTGAAAGTAGAAAATAAATCAACTAAATAGCGGCGTATGATACGCCGCGGGTCGGCTCGTTCTAAATATTCTATTAGTTGTAGTATTTTACTAAATATTTTATCTCTTCCACTCAACGTCGCTCCACTCTATTCCTCTATAAATGTATTACTTTCTACTTTACCTATTCCACTCTATTTAACTCTACTTCGCTATACACTATTCGTCACTACTTCATTATACTCCCTGATTTGGCTGATGTCTTGTGAGGGTTTTCTGTGGTAAGCGGTGTGTACGGCGCGAAATACATTATAATATGTAAAAGTTATGTGTAATAGAGTTAGGTGCGTGCGTGTTTCAAGATATAGGGTATGTGGTTAGGGTGAATTTTGTTGTGGATCTGTGACCCTGTGTGTGTGGCCAAGTATATGGTGTGAAGTTGTGGTAGGGGGTGCTGGGATGTGGTTTGGTTTGATATGTGGTTCGCAGTGAATTTTGTTATTTGCCCTCCTCAATTCGCTTCCATTTGTTTTACAAGATTTACAAAAAAATAGTTGGCGCTTTTTTTTTAAATTTCTTATGCCTATGTTTTCTGTCCTCCAAATTGAATCATGTTTATTTCTGATTTTAGCGAAACCCCGGGATTCAATGAGAGAGAGAGAGAGGCAGGGAGAGAGAAAAAGAGAGAGAAAGAGAGATAGATAGAAAGATATTTTTGTAAAGAAAATCATAAATTGAAAATTGACACATATAAAACTGTTGTGATTATTAAAAATTGTATTACAACGGTGAAATAGAAAACATGTAGGCCTGCCACAATATTATTAGTACAAAGAAAAAAATTGTTTCTTTAGCAGATCTACTTGTCCTCTTTTCACGACACCTAAGGACTCACTTAATAAGTAACTAAAAGGCAGAAGCACAGCCAAATCAATAAAACTAGATTGTTAAGAATGTTCTAGCGACTTTAACACGTGTATATAGACGAAAATATATTAAAGTAGGCCATGTGGAGTTTTCAAAACACTTGAAGCGTTTCAGTTCTAACCACTTCAGTTGAGTGCATTCGATTCAAATTTTATAACCTCATAAATCTGATAAAAGGGTCTCTAGCAATTCTTAACTGTCGAAACTGCTTTTCAAAAAAAGAAGTAGAGCAATTTTAATTCAAATCTTGGACATGTTTTTGAAAACGGCGAAGACTGAAAGATTCTTTCAGTCAACGGCGGCCGTCAAAAAGCCTTTTAGAAGGATTGCTGTGCGATTTCCTGCCCGCCGCTGTTATGATCAAATGGCATGGTCATGCATGACTTAGAGATTTAATGACATCTATATATAGTTTGAACGACGGGGCCGCTGTTATGCAGCTACTGAATATCCTGTTTTGCATAAAGAGGAAAGTCACACGGGTGTAAAAATTTGAATTAAACTGTTAATGGCATATGATATATAACATTTTTTTAAGTAGCTTAAATTATTATAATAATTTAGTTTTAAAAATAATGTATCACCTCGTTAATGTAAATAAAATGTTTCGCTTTTTGGTATTAGGGTCATAAAATAAAGTTACTATTTAACTTAGATAGATCAAATAAGAAATTTAAATAAAAAAACATACAAATATATCGTGCTGATTATTGTTTTCAACGTTCTAAGTAAATATAACACAGCCCTTATTTCTACGAAATCGTATATTAAACGTGTTACATCTCGCCATCATTAAACCAACCGCTAATTAGTTGTATTTCTTCTCTTCCTTTATCAAATTTGAAATGTATTGTTCTTAATTGTTGCTGACCTGAAAATGGCAATATCTCAAGTTTTATTGTAACTGTACCATTATTAATCACAGCAGTGAAGCAGATAACTCTTGTAAATACGTCACTAATGTGTAGCTTTGGACAAAGTCTTACGTCCATCAAGATTACGCAACGTCAAACGCCCACTTAAATCACATGGAAAACGCTATGCGTTCAATTAGATCACCCAGAATTATTAGGTCAATAAAGATAGCAAAGACAAATTCTTAATTCATTTTGACCATTAACATGTCCCACATCCTCCACATAACAAATACAAACTCTTACTTCCATTTGAATTACTAACATGTCTAACATCCTCCACATAACATACAAACTCTTACGTCCATTTGAATTACTAACATGTCTAACATCCTTTAGATCAGGGGTCTCCAAACTTTTCAGCCCGAGGTCCGCACTATCAAATATAAGTTCGGGAGCAAGAGTTTCTTCAAGACCATCTCCTCGGCGTTGTGGAGACCCCCCCCCCCCCCGGAAGAACGTGTACCCTTCACCTCCCACAACGAAATTTAATATATATATATATATATATATATATATATATATATATATATATATATATATATATATATATATATACTAGCTGTCCCGGCCAGGCCCTGCTCTGGCTTCTGTGAAAAACCTTTCTGTTAAAGACCATACCTGTGTGTTTAGTAATCATCATAAACCCGGCATTGCCCACCCAAACCACAACAAACCAAAACCAAAACAACAAAACGCAAACATAACGCTAACACAATTACAAATACAAACGATAACAAAAACCTAACAACAAACCCAACCACAACCACAAAAACCAATACGAACACAAAGAAAAAAAAAACAAATGAAAAAGCAAACGAAAACAAACCAAATCCAAACGCAAAACCAACCCCAAACACAAATACAAACACAAACCCAAAAATAAAACACAAACGAAAACGAAAAAAGAAAGAACAAAAACGAACCAAATCAAAACGCAACCACTAACGCAAACCCAAACTAAACACAAAGAAAACACTAACGCGAACATAAACCCGACTATAGTACCCCAACTTATTCATAGTCTTTTGCACTCACTTAAACGAACGTAGGCGCCAAGCCGAACACGGGAGGCCCAGGGCCCCAAATAGCACCCTGTCTGGGCGCCAGAGGACGACCGGATTCGATTCACTTAAAGACAATAGTAACCTTTCTTATCCATACTCTATCGCACTGTTTAAAGCGAAATGATGCACCATAGCGCTCACAGAATAGCCCAAGGCGCCAAATTGAACCCTGGTGGGGCGCCGGCGGACGCGCCTGTTTCAATTTAATGAACAATTATAATACTCCAAGCTTATCCGTAAAATACCTACAACATTTGCACTTGATCAATCCCCGCTTATTATGTAATTATTTTTTCCCAACACCAAAATAAAGTAATACAAAATAAATTCTTTTCCACTAATGCAATGTTTTATAAAGGGAAATAATTGTGTTTTTCTAATTTATCCAAGGGAAGTAAGTGCTAAAGGACTAAATATAAATAATTTTCAGACATAATTAGAATTTTTGTAAAAGATGATATTTTTTTTAAAAATTGTGTTTAATGAACATGCCGACAATTATTACTTTCAGTTTGAAAAATGAAAATTATTTCCAAACACTTACAGTTTTACCCTGTTTAACTAATAAATTTAGATCATGAGCAATTTAATAATTTAACACTTAAATCAGTCGAAGTATCCACGACAAACATTTTACAAACATTTTACATACAGAATTGAACTTTATATATTATATATATATATATATATATATATATATATATATATATATATATATATATATATATATATATATATATATATATATATATATATATATATGTATATATATATATATATATATATATAAAGCAAAAGCAATGTATGTTTGTGTGTCTGTCTGTCTGTCTGTCTGTCTTTTATGCATTACTACACCTCTCATCACATCGCCGTAAAACTTTGGGAAGTTGTTGAGAATATTCCTGGGGAGGTTTCTGCGAAACAAAAAAAGATTTAAAATTCGCAGGGGTGGCGCCCCGACAGGGCGCGATTTGATTTTTTCTATATACGGTATATAAAAATAGAAGTCAATTTTGGTTTGGCATCGTTCATCCGATAGCCACGAGACTTTGAAGAGTTCATTATACTACTCTAGGGAAGGGTTCTATAAAAAAAATAATTTTTAATTTCGCATTGGCGGCGTCACGGGAGGGTCCGATATTTCTCTATATATGGTATAACAAAAGTGAATTGTAGTGACATCGTTCATCCGATAGGCATGAAACTTTGGGGAGTTCGATATATAACTCTAGTGAAGGTTCTGTAAAAAAAAAATCATTTTTAATTTCGCAAGGGCGGCGCCACGGGAGGCTGCGATTTTTCTCTATATACGGTTTATAAAATTTCGCTTTCACACCGTTCATCTGTGTACCATTAAACATTGGGGAGATTATTAGATCACTCAATAGTAGGGTTCTGCAAAAAAATATTGTTTAATATTGCAAGGGCGGCGCCCCGGGGGGGGGGGGCGATTTTTTTCTCTATACACGGTATATAAAAAATAAAACTCGGATGCGGTTCATCAGAGTGCCATGAAACTTTAGGGAGTAGATGAGAATACTCCCGAGAATATTTCTGCGAAAAAGAAAACTAAAGTTTCTTATGGGCGGCGCCAAATAGGGTACTTTTTTCGTCAATACACGGTTTGGCGCCCAGAGTTTTAGAGCGTTAGAGCGATTATGTTGGCACTTGGCATACGTTAATCGAGCGTCCTGCATAGCGGTTAAGGGGTACTACTAGATTCAGCAGTAAAACTACAACAGGCTTCAAAAATAACTTTGTAACGCGAGGAGATCCTTCTTTACAATTTTGTCACCTTGCGAAAGATGAAAAAATAACTTTTTAATATGAGGAGCCTACTGTAGAGTTTCGTCACTTTGCTAATGATGCAATAAGCATCTATTACTAGACAATCCAGTCAGAAATTGAGATCGAGCATCTAATAATGGACCATTATTAACGCTAGCATATTGCATCAGTCACACTGATATTTAAAACACGTCAAATAATTTTTTTACGTGTTAAAGAAAAAAATCCTGTTCATTTGTGTCACTTTAACGAATTACAAAATCTGCATCATTATTCACAGGATGCTATTTGGCCGATGGCGCCTGTTAGTTTTAAGGAGCCAGGGGTCGTACGCCGCGCCTATGCGGTAGTTAATCGGGGGGTGGGGGCCCTGAGAGCGCCCCTCTGTATGTCTCTAACTCAGGGGCGGTCACCGAAGTGTGTTCTACCATATTATTTCGGTGGGTGATTAATGTACACACAAGGTTTTCATGCTGTAGTGTAGGTAAACCCGTGTCCTGATATTTATGATCCAAGCGCAGGCATTGTTTACATTTAAATAACTCATTTTTAGAAAAAAAGGTCACGCGTCTAAGAACATATAATTGATAACGCGTTGGTGAAATCCTTCTAATATATTTCGTCAAACTTTCTTCTATCCCCGCGGCAACGTGCGGGGGTCGGGTACGCTAGAATATATATATATATATATATATATATATATATATATATATATATATATATATATATATATATATATATATATATATATATATATATATATATATATATATATATATATATGTATGTATGTATGTATGATTCTCAGAAAGAAGCGCAACGGAAAAAAGCGCAACGGAAAAAGCGAAAAACAAGAAGCGCAAACAGAAAAAAGCTCAAATAGAAAAAAGCGCAAACAGAAAAAAGCGCAAACAGAAATAAGCGAACACAGAAATAAGCGCAAACAGAAAAAAGCGCACACAGAAAAAAGCGCAAAAAGAAAAAAGCGCTCACAGAAAAAAGCGCAAACAGAAAAAAAGCGCAAACTGAAAAAAAGCGCAAACAGAAAAAAAGCGCACACTGAAAAAAGCGCAAACAGAAAAAAACGCAAACGGAAAAAACGCAAAAAGAAAAAAGCACAAACAGAATAAAGAACAAAACGAAAAATGCGCAAAGAAATTTTAGCACAAAGACCTATATGGACTGGATGACACATTTATACATGAGAGTGTAGTATTTGATCACGTTATCTACTACCATTTAAAGCATACCACTGCCATGTTCATTCACATCACCACGTTACAGGCGATAATCGCTTTACACAATGCCTATTATTTTCTTGGTTAATATTTATTTAACTACTATTCTCGTATAAACATAAAACTATCCTTGTTATCGACATTGCACGAAGAATCTCTCACATTCTTCCTAGCCTAAACTACCTATCTTGCATACCATAACAATCCGTTTCAACATCGTCAACAAATATGCATTCGTCATATATCTCGCACTAACATTCATTCGCACCAAAATAACAATGATGTATTTAATATTGCTTCACATCATTACGCACCTATCTACCTACCTACCTACCTACCTACCTACCTACCTACCTACCTACCTACCTAACCTACCTACCTACCTACCTACCTACCTACCTACCTACCTACCTACCTACCTACCTACCTACCTACATACCTACCTACCTACCTACCTACCTTCCTACCTACCTACCTACCGACCTACCTACCTACCTACCTACCTACCTACCTACCTACCTACCTACCTACCTACCTACCTACCTACCTACCTACCTACCTACCTACCTACCTACCTACCTACCTACCTACCTACCTACCTACCTACCTACCTACCTACCTACCTACCTACCTACCTACCTACATACCTACTTACCTACCTACCTGCCTGCCTGCCTGCCTGCCTACCTACCTACCTACCTACCTACCTACCTACCTACCTACCTACCTACCTACCTACCTACCTACCTACCTACCTACCTACCTACCTACCTACCTACCTACCTACCTACCTACCTACCTACCTACCTACCTACCCACCCTCCCTCCCTCCCACCCACCCACCCACCCACCCACCCACCGACCTACCTACCTACCTACCTACCTACCTACCTACCTACCTACCTATCTACCTACCTACCTACCTACCTACCTACCTACCTACCTACCTACCTACCTACCTACCTACCTACCTACCTACCTACCTACCTACCTACCTACCTACCTACCTACCTACCTACCTACCTACCTACCCACCCACCCACCCACCCACCCACCTACCTACCTACCTACCTATCTACCTACCTACCTACCTACCTACCTACCCACCCACCCACCTACCTACCTACCTACCTACCTACCTACCTACCTACCTACCTACCTACCTACCTACCCACCCACCCACCCACCCACCCACCTACCTACCTACCTACCTACCTACCTACCTACCTACCTACCTACCTACGTATCTGAAGGAAACACTGTCGGGGACTGACAACACACTCGAGCTCCAAATTTGTTCCCAAATTGTTCTTCACGTAGGCTACTTCATTGTTGACAATATTTGTATGTTATTCCAAAATTTGAAAGGTACTTTGATGCAAAAGTTATAATAATAGAAAAGTCTTCCTTGGGCAAATACTTATAAAACTCACCCGCCCTTCTTTGAACTTGTCTTTAAGGATGTCATTTGCTGGGCAACTGGCCACATTTGCTTCAATGGTATTTGCACACAATGCTACATTTTCAATTTGTTTTGAATTTTTTCTCAGCCACCTCCAACAAACATTTTTTTTCCGTGGACAAAAATATCTCCGCACTAATCAAGTCTAAACAATTAAGCATGTTTTTGAAAATAAAACATTTAATTACATTAACAAAAAAAAATTGATTTTTAACGTCAAAGTATTTATAGCTGTTATACTTACTATTTCTTTTACTCTCATCTTTTCATAATTATTTTCTTTATTAATAACTAAAGCGTCGTCTTTCCAAATTTACACAACTTTTAATCAAAATATTGGGGTCTTTTTTAAATCGGGTTAAAACTACAGACAGGCCACTTTTAAACTATCAAATACTTAATTTCCATAAAGCTATTTATAATTAAGTTGAATAATAAACAATTACATTAGAACAAATATTTAAAAAACTTAATAGTAATAAGCTTTTAAATGCACTGGAAATAAGAAACTGAAACAAACTTGCTTTAGGCGCTAAATTTGTCAGAGATCCTATGGGTCGCCACACCCCACAAACAAAGTAAACATAGGCGTTGAGACCACACAAAAAAGTATTAAATATATATAAATGCACATTTAAGATTTTTACACTGCTAAAGATGTAGCCGACCTAACTATTCTCGTATTTGTTAATTTAGTAATTTACTCATGAATTGAAATATATATTTATGCATATTTGAATGAAAAGCACGAATCTTAGGGGAATGCTATGGTATATGACAGTTTTGTCTAACAGTACCTACGTCTAAAGTCAGTTTGCAATCCCAATCTGCGCCTCGGGGTCTACTGACCTAAAACCGTTACACTTGAATGCATTGGTGTCCTACATGTTCAGGACGTTTTCATTAAGTGCACACTGTCAGTGGCGTAGCTCCCGTAAGCAAGTCAAAGGGGCCCAAGGAACATATGGGCTCTTTTCCCTCTTTCAAAAAGTTAAAAATTTTACATTGGAATTTTAATATTTATTTTATGTTAATTATTTTAAAAAGAAAATGGAAATCCAGTTTTATATTTTTTTTTACTTTCTCATATAGGCTTACTGAGTATAGAGGAAGTATTGTAATTATGCACAAAAAGCACTACCTGAGTGGTCGAGATCCGTTGATCGTGCGTCCTGCATAGTAAGGGATACTAATTGATTCAACGGACAAAATGCAACAGGGGCGGCTTCTGACACCCCATCTATACGGATGACACAATGAACTAGAGATCATACACTAGAAGCAAGGTGGGCATTTAGATTCTATAAATAACCCGAACAAGGGATTGCTACCTGCTACCTATGGTACTGTACCAAGGCTTGGATACAGCATGCATTGTGGCGTTAACTGAAGGTGCCAGTCACCTCACTGCCCGCCCCCCCCCCACTCCCCGCCTCCAAAGATTTTGCATTTTCGGTGGGGTGTCAATCCTCTCTTTCTAATATTTTATTATTTTAACTAGATAAAACGTAGCTTTCACAATACATTTCACATTTTTCCCTCATTGAGACACGCCTAAAAGGTGTTACTCGATGCCTTCTGACGCAATACATTGTTCGGTACGGGTTAAACATAATAATACAGCATAGTATAAATACATAATAAGGATGTATTTAAAATATGTACATTATTTAAAGCTCTTCCCTTGAAATTAGCAATTGATTTCTTTACTCTCCATGTTAAACTCCGTTTTAGCCTAAAGGCTGACGAAGGTACCCACTGTTAAGTCCTCCATTGAAGCCCGAAAATCCTTGATACGCCCCTGAACATAGTCTATTGAGACTATGCCCTTTTATTACATTTAGACGTTATTTTTAAAATGCACAATTCAATACTTGCCAGACGGGTTTAGCTCGTTTTGTGACTTCTATATTAGCTGCAGATCACTTAGCTCAAGCTACTTTTTGAAAACTGATCAGTTCACTCATTAGTTTTGCAAAACCGGGTGAGTTACATTTTAATAGCAGTTGTCTATATATGAGGAGGCCCGGTGCGAAAACTGTTAAGTCATTTCTGATTTTGAGGAAATATGTTTTAATTTTTTTAAATTTTTTTTGTGTAAGGTCTACTGAAGTAGGGATTTTCAGTATTTTACTAAAAAACATTTTAATGTATACATTTTACAACAAAAATTATATATTTCTTTAATTTCCATTTGATAAAGATGGCTATACGGGTATATTTCTCAAAATGTGGACAGCAGGTTTTGCCGATGATCTCCTTAGATTATCACATTAGTCAGTACAACTAAAAAATGTAACATTTTATAACGTAAATATTTAGTAAATCATAGTAATATTAACAATACATTTCGTAATTAAAGTGTGTTCTTAAGGCATTGTTTTAGGTTCTTGTTCCTGGACTATTTAATACATAGATATTGATATAATTTATATAAAAACATTGGTGCTAGGTTGATATTTTTTGTTTCTCTTCCACCCAGCGGGGATCTAACTTGTTTCACGAATAAATGATCCGTAATAACCAATCATTGTATTTAAAACACATTGAGCAGTTTTATTGTTAGACAAGAAATTACGGAGACTTTTTCTTTTTCACACATTCCAAGAGCATGAATGATTTGGCGCCCCGGGCTATTGATTCACAACTGTGGCGCCTACGTTCGATTTATAGAACACCCTAAAATATTGACACGGTAGCACGCGACATGCGATAGTTAAGCCGAGCCAGGGGACGTACGCGGGCGTGTAACCGGGGGCTCCAAAAAGCATCCCACTTTGTCCCTGACACCTTGGTTTAAATTACTATTACGGATAGTGGTTAACGTACACTCAAGTCCTTCATACAGCACGCCCTGAGGCTAGCTGGCAGGTAGTGTGGGTAAAATATAGCGCCTGCTTTGCTTATCTATATATATAAAGCAAAGTTGTCGGGTGCCCAATAGGGCACTTCCCGGAGCCGCAGGCGCTTCAAATTTGGCATGAGTCTGCCTTGGCGCGAAAAAACACGAGAGCCGGTGCCGGTTGGCCAACAAGTCATAGTAGAGGGGGTCAAAACTGACCTCGTCTGACCGGCGCCTTATATGGGCTATATTACGAAAAAAACGTTTGCCCAACGACCCCCCCCCCCCCTTGACATTTTGTGAGGTGGTAGGAGAACGCCCAGGGGTGTCAAAAAAACTCGCCATGTCTGGAAATGGGTCAAAACTGACCATTCGTATTTCCATATATAATCTTTGTATTTTATGGAAAACACACGGTAATTTTAACAAAGATTTCAGGTTACTTACCCTCTATACATCTGGCTAATTTTTTTGCATGCTCTTAGATAAATGGCTAGGCCTGTCGGTTTCACTCAAAGCCCTCGAAGAGGGCTAAAAAGTTACTGCAAGTGAAATTCTCTTTATGTGAGCTTTATTACGAAAAAAAACTTTTGCCAAACAACTCCTTGACATTTTGTGAGGTGGTAGGAGAACGCATAGGGGTGTCACAAAAAACTCGCCATGTCCGGGAAAAATCTGGAAATGGGTCAAAACTTACCATTCGTATTTCCCGATATAATCTTTGTATTTTATGGGAAAAAGCAGATGGTAATTTCAATACGGATTTTAGAGCACTTATCGTCTTTACATCTGGCTAAATTTTTGCATGCTTATAGGTAATGGCTAGGCCGTACGGGCAAGATGTCGGTTTGAATCAAAACTCTCGACAAGGGCTAAAAAGTGACCGCGAGTGAAAATCTCTTTTTATCAGCTATTTTACGAAAAAACTTTTGTCAAACGCCCCTCCCCCCCCCCCCCCCTTGAAATTTTGTGAGGTAGTAGGAGAACGCCTTGGGGTGTCACAAAAAACTCACCATGTCCTGGAAAAATCTGGAAATGGGTCAAAACTGAGTAGTTGTGTTTCCCTATATAATCTTTGTATTTTATGTGAAAAACAGAAGGTAATTTCAACAAAGATTTCAGGGTTACCATTCCCAGTAGTGTTATATAAGGATATTCGAGGAAGTTTAGGGTAGATGCCGCCCGGTTTATTTAGTCTTTATTTCTCATACTGAATGGTAAAAACGGATTTGAGGATATAATTAAATTACAAAACTTCTATAGTTACGTTTACTTACGTTTATTTTAATTTTATTTTTTTTAGTTTAAATAATTTTTATTTAGGCTTAAAATTGCAGATGTTGGGAGAAGGTTTATATCTATGTCTATGTTCGTTGAAGCTTACATACGTGATTGTAGTTGTTTGTGGTTAGGGTTAGGTTTGCAAATTACATAAATTGCAAATTTCATATATTTTCAAGACCAGGGCAGCACCAATTATGTGATGCTAAATAAATACACATGTCACAGTCCTTTAATTTTGTTTTTAAAAAAAGCCAGTGCAGACCCTGGCCGGAATATATATATATATATATATATATATATATATATATATATATATATATATATATATATATATATATATATATATATATATATATATATATATATATATATAAGCGTTATACTCGTGCTACACCATAGTGTAAAACACCGCAATTAAACTTTTTGGAGCACAGAAAAGAATTGAACTTAATTTAAGACAACTGCTCTTTTGAAATTATTGTGAAATATACAATTATTTCACATTATCAGTAATTTAAATACGGTACTTCCCGCTACACCAGATAGCATGAATCAAAGCTCACCACTTACCTAACACCAAACTACATACACACCGAGTTTCTTCCAGCCCCCCCCCCCCCCCCGAACGAAATGAAATTTATATAATTTATACAGAAAATATATACTTTTAACAGAGTCCGCCCCCCCCCCGAAGAAAGTCTACCATCTCACACAACACGACACCGTGAAGGACACCTCAAATCAAATCCTACAAAACCATGATCTACTCGTAAACGCCCTTAGCTCTATCCAACAATCTCAACCACAACATCGCACTACACCATGCAGTATATAATACAACACATTCCACGACCCGCGTCCTACTACCTCACATAGCACAACACACGCCTCCAACCACTCATAACATGATACACACCCAATCACTTATTTTACACAATTCCCAATACACACACACACCTCACAACAAAGAGTAGATTAAACCCAAAGCCACCCGCTCCATACCCCGCTCCACACTATCCTAGACCCAACGCTCACGACGCATTAACAGCAATCCGAACTAAACCCAACATAACCCCACATCAACATACTCAATTTTGTAAAGTTTTGCAATTTCACAGTGTGATGCAAACTTGTATACAACACCATGTCATGAAAACAATGTTATAATTTATATATGTTTATGCATTTATGTTTCGATTAGCTCGACATCCAAAGTGATATAGATTAAAATAAAGCGACTGATTTCACAGGATTTGGAAAAATATGATGAATTTTTTATGCTAATTTAGCCTCAAATTCCATAGCTGATCTTTACATTAATTAATCATAATTTTCATGGAAACAGCTCATATATTTGTTGCCTTTGTTTAAAAAAAAAATAGCTTGTCATTTTAAACAATCAAACCATCACTTAATTTACACAAACAGAAGACTGTCGGAAAATTAAATTTACTGTGTAAGACCTAATTTATAGACCCTTTAAATCATGGGCCCCAGTAGCCCCCAACCCCACCCTTCAATCACCAGGCCCAATGTGGTGACTGAAAAATAGTATAATTCATTATACATCTAGGGAGTTTTAACTCAACATAACTAGATCTAGATACACTGTACCTAAAAATATGTATTTCAAAAACCTCACTTGTAATAAGAAAAAAATCTAAAGAATGTTTCTACATCTATCTTAGCAACGTTGCTGGTGAGCTAAGACGTCAAACACAAGTCCAATACAAGATATTAAGAACATTCTTTATTTACACAACACTATCATTATTCTAACTACCATTAACACACGATAACTTGAGTACCGTAAACAGCTAATTTCATGAAGGTTCATATTTAGGTGTTAAATCCAAATTATATTTGTGTATCAACTTTTCAGCGATTTCTGGTAACTGGAAAGGAACTTCATTTTCTTTCGGTTTTTCAAAACCCATTTGAATTGAATACCTTTTTGACAGATTGATGAAATTTCACATATTAATAAAAAAGTATTAATTCTCTGTTGTTGTTGTTTTTTGTTTTTTTTTTTCAAATTTTTAGTAATTTCCAGTGACCGGAAGTAGTACTTTACGCTATTTCTGTTATGTCAAAAAACATACATGAATTTATTAAGTACAAGCATTGTTTGCTTTTCAATTGATGTGCAATTCTTTGATTCTGCGAGATTCTATTCTATTTTTTAAATTTTAAGTATGTAAAAATTGATTGAAATTCATGTCTATATCACGAGTTGCAATCCTCCTTAGTATTATATAAGAATATTCGAGAAAGTATAGGGTTGATTGTTCCCACGTTATTTAAAGAAGGATAAATCGTAGGTCAAAATTTGTTAGTCAGAATGTGACAGCTGTTAGCGTTCATTTAACTAAAAATAAACACATTTTTAATTTCTCGTATATACGAAGTATAGAGAGTCTTGTAATCGTGCAAAAGAAAAATCGAGATTTTTACAAATCTCGATTGGGGTCGGCGTGGTCGAGTCGGTAAAGCTCGTGGTTGCTAAACCGAAAAGTCTCGAGTTCGAACCCTCGGGCAGATGAGGCTCGTTAGCTGGGGACAGCCACTCTGCTAGGAGAGACAACTCCAAAATTAAACAACTGCTGCCTTGTAGTTTGTTCTTGGTTGGACAAAGGCTATGGAAGCAAATCTAAAAAGAAAAGCAGGCTGAAATCGGAGTCAATGGCCTTAATGGCGCATAACAAGTTGACACGTAACGCTTAATTGTGGTCGAGTCGGCAAAAAGCTCATGGTTGATAAATTCAAACAAAGTCTCGAGTTCAAACCCACTGGCAGATAAATCTCGATCCCCTTCAACACTAAAAATTAAGAACGAAGAAGAAGAAGAAGACAAATCTCGATGTTTTACACCTCCCTGAGTCGGAAAAACATATTTGTGCAATCTTTTCCGTATGTGTGTATGTCTGTGTGCGTGTCTGTAAACACGATAACTTGAGTACCGTTACAGCTAGGTTGATGAAATTTCATAAATAAGTATTTTATCAAAATCGTAGGTCCGTATTAACTTTTGAGCGATTTCTGATTACATGAAAAGGTACTTTTTTCACTTTGAATTTTTCAAAAGCCTATAACTTGATTACTATTTCAGATAGATAAATGAAATCCAGTGGCGCAACTAGAAAAAACGGGCCACCCCGCAAATTTTTTTTTGGGCCACCCTCTTATATATATATATATATATATATATATATATATATATATATATATATATATATATATATATATATATATATATATATATATATATATATATATATACAAACACAGAACTTATAAATTAGATACTCAATTCTAGCCTGATCGGGTTTTGAATTTTTTTTATTTTTTTTTCAATTTAAAAAAATTACAACATGTCATGTGTGTTAGTGCATTGGTCTGTTTTGAGTTTATTTATTTATTTATTTTTTAAATTTAGAACTATTTTATTCAATATGTTTGCTGTAATTCAGCCGACCCTCTAGTATTTAGCCGGTCCAAAAAAAAATAATATAAAACGTGAACGCTTTGTATGTGTAATGGTTTCTCGTGCTATGTTTATTTTATGTTGTTTTTTTTTTGTATTTATATTATTTGTTTTAAATATATTTTCTTGTTATGCTATGTCAGTCTTTAACTTTTATTTTTTTAATAATAATTAAGAGAAGAAATTTCTTTTTAATTTGTTTAGTACAAATATATTAAAAGGAGCTTATGAGTACCCCTATTTAACTATTAAAAACAGGGAAATAAGTCATGGAAGGGTTTTGAACGTTTGCATATCTTTCACACGACAGATGAGACATATATTTTTTTTACGCAACAGCATGTGTTAGCTACTATATAACATCACAACTGTAGTAGATCTGTTTGTTATTTACAAAAGCTTTTACCGTCAAGTCAAAAATGCAAGAATTTTTTTTGCGGGGTCTGGCGGAACTACAGTGCCACTGTAGTTCCGCCCCTGATGAAATCTCACACGTAAGTAAAAGATCTAATCCTTTACCTTCTATCAAATTCTGAGTAATTTTCGTTACGATCTACGAATTTGATATAATACTTATATATGAAATTTCATCAACCTAGCTGTAACGGTACTCAAGTTATGGTGTTTACAGACACACATACACACACACACAAACACATACACATACACACAGACATACGGACAAGATTGCAAAATTATGTTTTCCCGTATCAGTGAGGTGTAAAACGTCGAAATTTGCAAAAATCTCTATTTTTTATTTTTTTTGCACAACTACAAGATTTTCTCTATACTTCGTATATGCGAGAAAGCTAAAATAAATGCACTATGAAAGACCAAATTTGTATCCCATATCAATCATAGGCACCAATAGCTAATTACTACACCTCTCATCACATCGCCGTGAAACTTCGGGAAGTTGTCGTAAATATTTCTGGGGAGGTGTCTGCGAAAAAAATCATTTCAAATTTGCAGGGGTGGCGCCCCGATAGGGCGCGATTTGTTTTTTTTTTCTGTATATAAGGTATAATAAAATAAAAGTCGATTGCTGTTTCACACCATTCATCCGATCGATATCAAACTTTGTGGAGTTGATTAGAACACTACCTGGAAGGGTTCTGCGAACATAAATTTTTAAATTTCGCAAGGGCGGCGCCACGGGAGGACGCGATTTTTCACAATATACGATTTATAAAAAATAAAAGTTGATTTGGGATTGACACCATTCATCCGATTGCCATAAAACTTTTGGGAGTTTATTAGAATACTACCTGAAAGGGTTTAGCATAAAATATTTTTTTTAATTTCGCAAGGGCGGCGCCACGGGAGGGCTCTATTTCTCTCTATATACGCTATAAAAAAATAAAAATCAGATGCGGTTAGACACCTTTCATTCGTGTGCCATGAAACTTTGGGGAGTTGATGAGAATACTCCCGATATGGTTTCTGTGAACAATATACTGAAAATATGATATGGGTGCGCCTATGAGAGTGCGATTTTCGTCAATGCACAATTTGGCGCCCATATCGGCTACGTTAGCACGTGGCATCCGCTAATCGTGCGTCCTTCATAGCGTGTAAGGAGTAATACTATACACAGCGTGAAATCTTCAAGGGGCCCAACCGTCGGCGCCCTGTTATTTGTACGACAGGAAGCGCCCCGGGCTCCCCTGCGAGCACTATGAACCATGTAATATATTTTTTAATAATCAGAAAAATTAACCAATATTAGACTATTAAATGGGTTGTTTCCTTTTATCCCTAAAAAAGTCCATATTGTTTCGTCACTTTGCGAATGATGAAATTAGCATCTATTTTTAGACTATCCAATCAGAAATTAAGATTGTGCTTCTAAAAATACACAATTAGTAATGCATTGTTACATATTTCGACAGACTTTCTTCTTTTTCCAGCGGCAACGGGTACGCTAGTATATATATATATATATATATATATATATATATATATATATATATATATATATATATATATATATATAAAGCAATGTATGTGTGTCTGTGTGTGTGTGAGTATCTGTCTGTCTGTCTGTCTTTTATGCATCACTACACCATTCATCCGATCGCCATGAAACTTTGGTAAGTTGATGAGAATACACCTGGGGAGGTTTAAGAGAAAAATAAATTCAAAATAGTAGCGCTAGCGCCCCGGTAGGGCGCGATTTAATTTTTCTCAATATACGATATATAAAATAAAAGTCGATTGCGGTTTTACACCGTTCATCTGATCACCATCCAACTTTGGGAAGTCGATTAGAACACTTCAGGTGAGATTTCGCAAGGGCGGCGCCATTTCGAAATTAAAAATATATACAATAATTAAAAATATATACAATACTAGCGCACCCGTCCCTGCGCGTTGCCGAGGGGATAGAAAAAAAGTCTGATATGGGCGGTCACCAAAATGTGTTCTACCTCATTATTTCGGTGAGTGATTAACGTACACTCAAGGTTTAATGCGGTAGTATAGGTAAACCTGTGACCCGATATTTTTGATCCAAGCGCAGGCAATGTTTACATTTAAATAACTCAGTTTTAGAAAACAAGGTCACGCGTCAAAGAATATAGGATTGGTAACGCATTGATGAAGCCCTTTTTTTATATTTCGTCAGACTTTCATCTATCCCCGCGGCAACGCGCGGGAACGGGAACGCTAGTATATATATATATATATATATAAATAGTATATATATATATGTATATACATATATATGTATATATATATATATATATATATATATATATATATATATATATATATACATCTATAAATCATACATGTAGGTGCAAGTACGGCTAGCCAACTGGCTAAAAAATGGAGTTAGACTTCATGAAGATAGTAGCTTCGGTTCTTTTGCTGCTGAGTATAACTTCTGCGCAGGGTAAGAACCAAATATATCACTCGGAACCCGAATTTTTTATATTAAATCAGATTTTAGTGAATCTGCAGAAAAAAAAGGTTTGTATTTATAGATCAACAAATTTGATAAACTTTTTTTTTGTTTCCAGATTGCGGGACTGGATGGACGGTACGTCCAGGTACGACACTCTGCTATCGACTTGAGACTGCCAAAGTGACTTGGGACCAGGCCAATACTGCGTGTAACGCATTTGGGGGAGGACTAACCACTATTGCTGACCAAGACGAGAAAGCTTTTGTGTCAGGTAATTGTATGAAAGTGTTATGTTAATGTAAGTACTAACTATTGGGGTTACTGTCTTTTTTTTACGTAGAGGAGCTAAAGCATGTAAATGTACGCTGAATTATAAAATCAATGTTCGATAATTTTACAATACTGATAAATCATAATAGTTCAAAATTATATATACTTTATTTAAATTTCATTTTAATAATTGTGTATGAAATTCAATTTAGTTTAAACATTCTAATTCTTTCCAAAAATCATTCTCATTTATTCAAAATAATTTATCGTTTTATTAGTAGCAAAAATGTTTTTTTTTTGCTGTTTGCTTCCAGCATTTTCTGATACAGCAAATGACTATCTGTGGATTGGAATGACGGATTCCGCTGGTCAGGGAATCTGGAATTGGCAAAATTCACCATGCGTTTCTTTAATTGACTGGAACGTTGGTAAAATATATTTAAACGAATTATATATATCTATATATCTATATATATATATATATATATATATATATATATATATATATATATATATATATATATATATTTATAAATATATATATAAAATTATATATATATATATATATATATATATATATATATATATATATATATATATATATATATATATATATGTATGTATATATAGTTATGGGTATGTGTGTGTGTTTAATTGAGTGGCTCCACATCTCGCTTGTGTTTTTGTTTTCTTTTTCCCTTTCGGCGTCAAGTTTGTAGCCGTTCATGTGATATTATCGTATTTCAACCTTGTACAAAGGCTTATAAGTTGCAATATCTCTACTTTCTCTTAGAAAAAGAATTGTAATGGTGCACAAAAGTGTAATGAACTTTTTTAAATGCATGCCAATTTATACCTCTATGTTATGGTCTGTCACTTGTTTAAGCAAACACCACGTAGTGTAGACTACTTTTTCATTCAATGTCAGCAATGCTCTGATAAACAAAAGTTTGTTTGCGCAAAAAGGATACGTCAATGGTTTAGCCGTGATAAAATATGATTATTGCAACATGCAAATAATTTTTCAGGCGAACCAAGTTACGGAAACGGTGGAAAAGAGTGTGCTATATTCCTTATGAAAGTCAGCAACTATACATGGGACGATGTACGCTGCGGCGCAACGTTCCCATACGTATGCAGGAAAGATATTGGTATTTATTGGTCATTATACACAATTTATAGAAAATGTTCATTAATAAATAAATAAATAAATACATAAATACATTAATAAATTTATAAATGAATTTAAAAAATAAATAAAAACATAAAAAACAACTATATATATATATATATATATATATATATATATATATATATATATATATATATATATATATATATATATGTATATATATGTATATATATATAATGATTATTTGGTGATCTTTAATAGTTATTCTAACATTTTTATTCTATTTTTATCTATTATTTAAAACCATACTCAGGACCTGCCTCCGAAACTAACACGGTAACTACATTATATATATATATATATATATATATATATATATATATATATATATATATATATATATATATATATATATATATATATATGTAAATATACATACATATATGATTCAAATTTTAGTAAGTTTAAATTATTAGAAAAGAATGCAAAAACTTTTTTTTTTTAATTTAGATATATTAGCCTCTAGTTGCCTGCAATTAATAAAATTAATTGATGAGACGGGTGTATTTAAAAAAAAATATATTACTCAAAATATTCAATACAAGCAAAACAGTTTTTTTTTCCTTTATGGAATTCATTTAGCTTGACGCGATGTAAATGTCTTATAAATTCACAGTTACTTTAAAAAGTCACTTTTAGTTGCAATAAGCCATAGCTGATTTGGGGCAGTTTCATATGGCCACGATTATTAAGTTTTATTCATTTGAAATTTTATTTAGCTACATTCTATCAGATATAACGTAATTCCAGCTAGCTCAATCAATATTTGAATACAATACAAATTGTTAGTGTTGTTCGCTTTTAAAGTAAGTGGGCATACATTTAATTGTTAGAAATTGAACATTCTGGAAATATTTCAAAGTAACAAAAAAAAATTATCATAATATGGACATTACTTTCTAATCTGAAGTTACCAAATCGAAACGAGTAAAAAGATTAAGAAATTGTTTTGTAAAAAAAAACTTATAACGGACCTAAACATTTTGAATTTGTTTTAACATAAACAAAAGCACCATCTTTTCTAGGAATGTAACAATGGATGTACCAACACTGCTGGTTGTACAGGCTACACCTACAAAGGCGGCCAGTGCACTCTACATGTAAGAAAGAATGTTGGGACAATACAAGGTGTAGCTACCACCGTTATTACCTGTGAGAAATGTAAGTCGTAAATAAATTGATATTTTAATGTTTCATTTCTAAAAAGAAATAATACGAAACAATATTTCTGAGATATTTTAACCAATAATTGTTTTCAAATAAGTTGTTGTGTCGAAGATATATTTCTGGTTGATCAGTTGTGCATTTTTTAATTTTTTATCATGTAATAAAAAACGTTAATTTACTAATGCTGTTGTTAGTTTGTATTACCTCGTTTGGCCCATGTCTTATGTCAGAGACATAATCGAGTTACATATTTTTTAATCCAAGTTCAACTAACACAACATGAGTTAAAGAAATATTTTAAATCTAGAAACTTTCATACTAGACCCACCACCAGCACCGACAACAGTTGCTACAACTACAATAAGTACTACACCAGACTGCGGGACTGGATGGACGCTACGTCCAGGTACGACACTCTGCTATCGACTTGAGACTGCCAAAGTAACTTGGGACCAGGCCAATACTGCGTGTAACGCACTTGGGGGAGGACTAACCACTATTGCTGACCAAGCAGAGAAAGCCTTTGTATCAGGTAATTGCATGAGTGTTATGTAATGTATGAAATACGTACTAACTATTTTGGGAAACTGTCATTGTTACTTTCACATACAGAAACAAACTTTCTTTCCATAATGAAAACTAAAATATGTAAAGTGATGAAAGCATGTCATTTTACGCAAAATTTTGAAAGCCATTTATCCATAAGTATTCTTTTCTTTTAAACTAATAATTGAATATATATATTTAAAAACACATTATATTTGAAATTCAAATCAATCTGAAAATTTCAATGCTTTACAAATAAATCTGCATTTTTAAAAACTGTTCTTTTGTTTTGTTTAGAAAAAAAGGAATCAATTTTTCAATTCACTGTTTACTTCCAGCATTTTCTGACAGAGCAAATGACTATCTGTGGATTGGAATGACGGATTCAGCTGGTCAGGGAATCTGGAATTGGCAAAATTCACCATGCGTTTCTTTAATTGACTGGAACGTTGGTAAAATATTTTAAACGAATTATATATATATATATACGAGCCGACCCGCTGCGTATCATACGCCGCTATTTAGTTGTTTTTTTCTTCTACTTTTCAGTAATTTATAATTTGTGAATTCGACAGTACCAATGCTGCCATTGAAAATATTTGCTTTAAAACACTAACCCCCCCCCCCCCACGTGAAAGCAGCCTCCTCTTAGTTACCTCCTCTAAGTTTAAAATCGTTTCAAACTAAATTATCTGCCCCTAATAGCCGTCACCAAACCCGTCTCTATGATTGTAAAATGTAAACAGAGTGAACACCGCTCACCAGATCATGTGGGGGTGGGGTGGGGGTGGTAATGATAGTGATAGAGAGGAAGAGAGGGAACTGCAAAGGCGCGCTTGCAGCTTGTTTTCTAACTGATCCCAGAAGAGAATTATATATATACGAGCCGGCCCGCGGCATAACATACGCCGCTATTTAGTTGTTTCTAATTTTCAATAATTCATAATCTGTGAATTCGACAGTACCAACGCTGACACTGAAAATATTTCTTTAAAACACTATAAGTAGCTCGTTAAGTACCATAACCCCCCCCCCCCTTCCTTCCTTCCCTCCCCCCCTCCTCCCCCCCCCTACGTTTAAAATCGTTGGCTCTGCTTGTAAACATTTAGAGTGAACACAGCTCACTAAAACCATGTAGGGGTGGGGAGGTAGGGAGAGCGTTTGCAGCTTGTTTTCTAACGGCTCGAAGAAGAGAATTATATATATATATATATATATATATATATATATATATATATATATATATATATATATATACATATATGTATATATATATATATAGTTATGGGGAGCCGGACGTTTTCCCGAAAGACACTTGCCCGAATGCCGTTTGCCCGAAGGCCGATTTCCCGAATGGACACTTGCCCGAATGCGACAAATGCTTGAATGGACACTTGCCCGAATGCGACAAATGCCCGAATGGACACTTGCGCGAATGCGACAAATGCCCGAATGGACACTTGCCCGAGTACGACAAATGCCCGAATGGACACTTGCTCGAATGCGACAAATGCCCGAAGGCCACTTGGGTTTAAGTGAGTGGCTCGACATCTCGTTCGTGTTTTTGTTTTCTTTTTCTCTTTCGACGTCAAGTTTAACGCCGTTCCTTGGATATTATCGTATTTCAACCTTGTACAAAGGCTTATCAGTTGCAATATCTCTGCTCTCTCTTGGAAAAAGAATTGTAATGGTGCACAAAAGTGTAATGAACTTTTTAAAATGCATGCCATTTTATACCTCTATGTTATGGTCTGTCACTTGTTTAAGCAAACACCACGTAGTGTAGACAACTTTTTCATTCAATGTCAGCGATGCTCTGATAAACAAAAGTGTTTTTGCGCAAATAGGATACGTCAATGGTTTAGCCGTGATAAAATATGATTATTGCAACATGCAAATAATTTTTCAGGCGAACCAAGTTACGGAAACGGTGGAAAAGAGTGTGCTATATTCCTTATGAAAGTCAGCAACTATACATGGGACGATGTACGCTGCGGTGCAACGTTCCCATACGTATGCAGGAAAGATATTGGTATTTATTGGTCATTATACACAATTTATAAAAAATGTTCATAAATAAATAAATAAATACATAAATACATAAATACATAAATACATAAATAAATGAATAAATCCATTTAAAAAATAAATAAAAAAATAAAAACACATATATATATATATATATATATATATATATATATATATATATATATATATATATATATATATATATATATATTGATTATTTGGTGATTTTTAATAGTTACTCTAACATTTTTATTCTATTTTTACCTATTATTTAAAACCAAACGCAGGACCTGCCTCCGAAACTAATACGGTAACTACATTTATGTAAATAATATATATATCTCTCTCTCTCTCTGTCTCTGTCTGTCTGTCTCTCTCTCTCTCTCTCTCTCTCTCTCTCTCTATATATATATATATATATATATATATATATATATATATATATATATATATATATATATATATATATTTATAAATATATGTGTAAATATACATCCATATATGATTAAAATTTTAGTAAATTTAAATTATTAGAAAAGAATGCAAAACCTTTTTTTAAATTTAGATATATTAGCCTCTAGTAGCCTGCAATTAAAAAAATTAATTGATGAGACGGGCGTATTTTAAAAAGAAATATCAAACAAAATATTCAATACAAACAAAACAGTTTGTTTTTTCCTTTATTGAATTCATTTAGCTTGACGCGATGTAAATATCTTATAAACTCACAGTTGCTTTAATAAGTCACTTTTAGTTGCAATAAACGATAGCTGATTTGGTCAGTTTCATTGGGCAACGGTTATTAAGTTTTATTCATTTGACATTTTACTTAGCTACATTCTATCAGATAAGACGTAATTCCAGCTAGCACAAACAATATTTGAATACAATACATATTGTTAGTGTTGTTCCCTTTTAAAGTCAGTATTCATACATTTAATTGTTAGAAATGAAACATTCTGGAAATATTTCAAGGTAACAAAATAAAAATTATCATAATATGGACATTACTTTCTAATCTGAAATTACCAAATCGAAACTAGTAAAAAGATTAAGAAATTTTTTTGTAAAAAAAACTTATTACAGTCCTAAAACATTTTGAATTTGTTTTAACATAAACAAAAGCGCCATCTTTTCTAGGAATGTAACAATGGATGTACCAACACTGCTGGTTGTACAGGCTACACCTACAAAGGCGGCCAGTGCACTCTACATGTAAGAAAGGATGTTGGGACAATACAAGGTGTAGCTACTACCGTTATTACCTGTGAGAAATGTAAGTCGTAAAAAAATGATATTTTAATGTTTCATTTATAAAAAGAAATAATACGAAACAATATTTCTGAGATATTTTAACCAATAATTGTTTTCAAATAAGTTGTAGTGTCCGAAGATATATTTCTTGTTGATCAGTTGTGCATTCGAAATAGCTTAATATGTGTGATCAATTTTGATGTGTTATGATTAGTCTGAGATATTTTGTCTGAAATGTTTTGAACATTATGTTTTTTGTCAAGATACATTTTGTACAAATGCATTTTCTTCTGAGAAATTAGACCTTGATTTTTTCTACTGAGATATTTTGTCTGATATCAGGTGTCCTGTGAATATTGTTTTTTCTTGAAAAAAAAAGAGTCTACGTCAATTTCTCATGAGGTCATTAGAATTGTAAGAGAATCTATAAAATGTTAAATTGTTTATCATGTAATAAAAAACGTTAATTTACTAATGCTGTTGTTAGTTTGTATTACCTCGCTTGGCCCATGTCTTATGTCAGAGACATAATTGAGTTACAGATGTTTTAATCCAAGTTCAACTTACACAACATGAGTTTAAGAAATATTTTAAATCTAGAAACTTTCATACTAGACCCACCACCAGCACCAACAACAGTTGCTACAACTACAATAAGTACTACACCAGACTGCGGGACTGGATGGACGCTACGTCCAGGTACGACACTCTGCTATCGACTTGAGACTGCCAAAGTGACTTGGGACAAGGCCAATACTGCGTGTAACGCACTTGGGGGAGGACTAACCACTATTGCTGACCAAGCAGAGAAAACCTTTGTATCAGGTAATTGCATGAGTGTTATGTAATGTATGAAATACGTACTAACTATTTTGGGAAACTGTCATTGTTACTTTCACATACAGAAACAAACTTTCTTTCCATAATGAAAACTAAAATATGTAAACTGATGAAAGCATGTCATTTTACGCAAAATTTTGAAAGCCATTTATCCATAAGTATTCTTTTCTTTTAAATTAATAATTGAATATATATATTTAAAAACACATTATATTTGAAATTCAAATCAATCTGAAAATTTCAATGCTTTACAAATAAATCTGCATTTTTAAAAACTGTTCTTTTGTTTTGTTTAGAAAAAAAGGAATCAATTTTTCAATTCACTGTTTACTTCCAGCATTTTCTGACAGAGCAAATGACTATCTGTGGATTGGAATGACGGATTCAGCTGGTCAGGGAATCTGGAATTGGCAAAATTCACCATGCGTTTCTTTAATTGACTGGAACGTTGGTAAAATATTTTAAACGAATTATATATATATATATACGAGCCGACCCGCTGCGTATCATACGCCGCTATTTAGTTGTTTTTTTCTTCTACTTTTCAGTAATTTATAATTTGTGAATTCGACAGTACCAATGCTGCCATTGAAAATATTTGCTTTAAAACACTAACCCCCCCCCCACGTGAAAGCAGCCTCCTCTTAGTTACCTCCTCTAAGTTTAAAATCGTTTCAAACTAAATTATCTGCCCCTAATAGCCGTCACCAAACCCGTCTCTATGATTGTAAAATGTAAACAGAGTGAACACCGCTCACCAGATCATGTGGGGGTGGGGTGGGGGTGGTAATGATAGTGAAAGAGAGGAAGAGAGGGAACTGCAAAGGCGCGCTTGCAGCTTGTTTTCTAACTGATCCCAGAAGAGAATTATATATATACGAGCCGGCCCGCGGCATAACATACGCCGCTATTTAGTTGTTTCTAATTTTCAATAATTCATAATCTGTGAATTCGACAGTACCAACGCTGACACTGAAAATATTTCTTTAAAACACTATAAGTAGCTCGTTAAGTACCATAACCCCCCCCCCCCCTTCCTTCCTTCCCTCCCCCCCTCCTCCCCCCCCCCTTACGTTTAAAATCGTTGGCTCTGCTTGTAAACATTTAGAGTGAACACAGCTCACTAAAACCATGTAGGGGTGGGGAGGTAGGGAGAGCGTTTGCAGCTTGTTTTCTAACGGCTCGAAGAAGAGAATTATATATATATATATATATATATATATATATATATATATATATATATATATATATATATATATCTATATATATATACATATATGTATATATATATATATAGTTATGGGGAGCCGGACGTTTTCCCGAAAGACACTTGCCCGAATGCCGTTTGCCCGAAGGCCGATTTCCCGAATGGACACTTGCCCGAATGCGACAAATGCTTGAATGGACACTTGCCCGAATGCGACAAATGCCCGAATGGACACTTGCGCGAATGCGACAAATGCCCGAATGGACACTTGCCCGAGTACGACAAATGCCCGAATGGACACTTGCTCGAATGCGACAAATGCTCGAAGGCCACTTGGGTTTAAGTGAGTGGCTCGACATCTCGTTCGTGTTTTTGTTTTCTTTTTCTCTTTCGACGTCAAGTTTAACGCCGTTCCTTGGATATTATCGTATTTCAACCTTGTACAAAGGCTTATCAGTTGCAATATCTCTGCTCTCTCTTGGAAAAAGAATTGTAATGGTGCACAAAAGTGTAATGAACTTTTTAAAATGCATGCCATTTTATACCTCTATGTTATGGTCTGTCACTTGTTTAAGCAAACACCACGTAGTGTAGACAACTTTTTCATTCAATGTCAGCGATGCTCTGATAAACAAAAGTGTTTTTGCGCAAATAGGATACGTCAATGGTTTAGCCGTGATAAAATATGATTATTGCAACATGCAAATAATTTTTCAGGCGAACCAAGTTACGGAAACGGTGGAAAAGAGTGTGCTATATTCCTTATGAAAGTCAGCAACTATACATGGGACGATGTACGCTGCGGTGCAACGTTCCCATACGTATGCAGGAAAGATATTGGTATTTATTGGTCATTATACACAATTTATAAAAAATGTTCATAAATAAATAAATAAATACATAAATACATAAATACATAAATACATAAATACATAAATAAATGAATAAATCCATTTAAAAAATAAATAAAAAAATAAAAACACATATATATATATATATATATATATATATATATATATATATATATATATATATATATATATATATATATTGATTATTTGGTGATTTTTAATAGTTACTCTAACATTTTTATTCTATTTTTACCTATTATTTAAAACCAAACGCAGGACCTGCCTCCGAAACTAATACGGTAACTACATTTATGTAAATAATATATATCTCTCTCTCTCTCTCTGTCTCTGTCTGTCTGTCTCTCTCTCTCTCTCTCTCTCTCTCTCTCTCTCTATATATATATATATATATATATATATATATATATATATATATATATATATATTTATAAATATATGTGTAAATATACATCCATATATGATTAAAATTTTAGTAAATTTAAATTATTAGAAAAGAATGCAAAACCTTTTTTTAAATTTAGATATATTAGCCTCTAGTAGCCTGCAATTAAAAAAATTAATTGATGAGACGGGCGTATTTTAAAAAGAAATATCAAACAAAATATTCAATACAAACAAAACAGTTTGTTTTTTCCTTTATTGAATTCATTTAGCTTGACGCGATGTAAATATCTTATAAACTCACAGTTGCTTTAATAAGTCACTTTTAGTTGCAATAAACGATAGCTGATTTGGTCAGTTTCATTGGGCAACGGTTATTAAGTTTTATTCATTTGACATTTTACTTAGCTACATTCTATCAGATAAGACGTAATTCCAGCTAGCACAAACAATATTTGAATACAATACATATTGTTAGTGTTGTTCCCTTTTAAAGTCAGTATTCATACATTTAATTGTTAGAAATGAAACATTCTGGAAATATTTCAAGGTAACAAAATAAAAATTATCATAATATGGACATTACTTTCTAATCTGAAATTACCAAATCGAAACTAGTAAAAAGATTAAGAAATTTTTTTGTAAAAAAAACTTATTACAGTCCTAAAACATTTTGAATTTGTTTTAACATAAACAAAAGCGCCATCTTTTCTAGGAATGTAACAATGGATGTACCAACACTGCTGGTTGTACAGGCTACACCTACAAAGGCGGCCAGTGCACTCTACATGTAAGAAAGGATGTTGGGACAATACAAGGTGTAGCTACTACCGTTATTACCTGTGAGAAATGTAAGTCGTAAAAAAAATGATATTTTAATGTTTCATTTATAAAAAGAAATAATACGAAACAATATTTCTGAGATATTTTAACCAATAATTGTTTTCAAATAAGTTGTAGTGTCCGAAGATATATTTCTTGTTGATCAGTTGTGCATTCGAAATAGCTTAATATGTGTGATCAATTTTGATGTGTTATGATTAGTCTGAGATATTTTGTCTGAAATGTTTTGAACATTATGTTTTTTGTCAAGATACATTTTGTACAAATGCATTTTCTTCTGAGAAATTAGACCTTGATTTTTTCTACTGAGATATTTTGTCTGATATCAGGTGTCCTGTGAATATTGTTTTTTCTTGAAAAAAAAAGAGTCTACGTCAATTTCTCATGAGGTCATTAGAATTGTAAGAGAATCTATAAAATGTTAAATTGTTTATCATGTAATAAAAAACGTTAATTTACTAATGCTGTTGTTAGTTTGTATTACCTCGCTTGGCCCATGTCTTATGTCAGAGACATAATTGAGTTACAGATGTTTTAATCCAAGTTCAACTTACACAACATGAGTTTAAGAAATATTTTAAATCTAGAAACTTTCATACTAGACCCACCACCAGCACCAACAACAGTTGCTACAACTACAATAAGTACTACACCAGACTGCGGGACTGGATGGACGCTACGTCCAGGTACGACACTCTGCTATCGACTTGAGACTGCCAAAGTGACTTGGGACCAGGCCAATACTGCGTGTAACGCACTTGGGGGAGGACTAACCACTATTGCTGACCAAGCAGAGAAAACCTTTGTATCAGGTAATTGCATGTGTCTTATGTAATGTATGAAATACGGACTAACTATTTTTGGGAAACTGTCATTATTCCTTTCACATACAGAAACTAACTTTTTTTCTATAATGAAAACTAAATGTAAAGTGATGGGAGCATGTCATTTTACGCAAAATTTTGAAAGCCATTTATCGATAAGTATTCTTTTCTTTTAAATTCATAATTGAATATACATATTTAAAAACACATTATATTTGAAATTCAAATCCATCAGAATATTTCAATGCTTTACAAATAAATCAACATTCTTAAAAACTGTCCTTTTGTTTTGTTTAGAAGAAAGGAATCAATTTTGCACTTCACTGTTTACTTCCAGCATTTTCTGATAGAGCAAATGACTATCTGTGGATTGGAATGACGGATTCAGCTGGTCAGGGAATCTGGAATTGGCAAAATTCACCATGCGTTTCTTTAATTGACTGGAACGTTGGTAAAATATTTTAAACGAATTATATATATACGAACCGACCCGCTGCGTATCATACGCCGCTATTTAGTTGTTTTTTTCTTCTACTTTTCAGTAATTTATAATTTGTGAATTCGACAGTACCAATGCTGCCATTGAAAATATTTGCTTAAAAACACTAACCCCCCCCCCCCCCCTTACGTGAAAGCAGCCTCCTCTTAGTTACCTCCTCTAAGTTTAAAATCGTTTCGAACTAAATTATCTGCCCCTAATAGCCGTCACCAAACCAGTCTCTATGATTGTAAAATGTAAACAGAGTGAACACCGCTCACCAGATCATGTGGGGGTGGGGTGGGGGTGGTAATGATAGTGATAGAGAGGAAGAGAGGGGACTGCAAAGGCGCGCTTGCAGCTTGTTTTCTAACTGATCCCAGAAGAGAATTATATATATATATATATATATATATATATATATATATATATATATATATATATATATATATATATATATATATATATATATATATATATATATATATAGTTATGGGGAGCCGGACGTTTTCCCGAAAGACACTTGCCCGAATACCGTTTGCCCGAAGGCCGATTTCCCGAATGGACACTTGCCCGAATGCGACAAATGCCCGAATGGACACTTGCCCGAGTACGACAATGCCCGAATGGTTACTTGCTCGAATGCGACAAATGCCCGAAGGCCACTTGAGTTTAAGTGAGTGGCTCGACATATCGTTCGTGTTTTTGTTTTCTTTTTCCCTTTCGACGTCAAGTTTAACGCCGTTCCTTGGATATTATCGTATTTCAACCTTGTACAAAGGCTTATCAGTTGCAATATCTCTACTTTCTCTTGGAAAAATAATTGTAATGGTGCACAAAAGTGTAATGAACTTTTTAAAATGCATGCCATTTTATACCTCTGTGTTATGGTCTGTCACTTGTTTAAGCAAACACCACGTAGTGTAGACTACTTTTTCATTCAATGTCAGCGATGCTCTGATAAACAAAAGTTTGTTTGCGCAAATAGGATACGTCAATGGTTTAGCCGTGATAAAATATGATTATTGCAACATGCAAATAATTTTTCAGGCGAACCAAGTTACGGAAACGGTGGAAAAGAGTGTGCCATATTCCTTATGAAAGTCAGCAACTATACATGGGACGATGTACGCTGCGGCGCAACGTTCCCATACGTATGCAGGAAAGATATTGGTATTTATTATTTATTACATATAAATTTATAGAATTATAATGTATATACATATATATATATATATATATATATATATATATATATATATATATATATATATATATATAATTTATATATAACTATAGATATATAATGAATTTTTAGTGATTCTTATTATTTACTTTTACATTTTTATCCATACACAGGACCTGCATCCGAAACAAATACGGTAACTACATTATATATATATATATATATATATATATATATATATATATATAATAAAATTTAAAAATCGAATAATATATTTCATAAAAACAAAACAGTTTTATTTTTCCATTTTTGAATTCATTTTTCAAGACACAATATAACTGTCTTATAAATTCATAATTAATTTACTAATTTACTAAGCCACTTGTAGTTTGTATAAACTTTAAAAGCAATAATCTATGTGACCAGTTTCATTGGACCAATATTATTATGTTTTATTCATTCGGCTTTTTTCTTAGCTACATTTAATCAGATCGGACGAAATTCCAGCCAGCTGCTAAAAATATTTTAATACAATAAATATTGTTAGTTTTTTACCCGTTTAAAGACAGTTGGCTTACATTTAATTGTTTGAAATTGAACATTCTTTAAATATTAAAATGCAACGAAAAAAATGATGCCTATATGGGCATTACTTCCTAAAGTGAGGTTACTAAATCGAAAATAGGGAGAAGATTAAGAAATTAAAAAAAAAATTATAACAGACCTTATTAAAATTTCGAATTTGTTTTAACATAAAAACAACGTCTACATGTCTAGGAATGTAACAATGGATGTACCAACACTGCTGGTTGTACAGGCTACACCTACAAAGGCGGCCAGTGCATTCTACATGTAAGAAAGGATGTTGGGGCAATAAAAGGTGTTGCAACTACCGTTATTACCTGTGAGAAATGTAAGTCGTAAATGAATTGGTATTAAAATATGCTATTTATAAAACATTATTAATAGCAAATAAGCTCAATTTTTCTGAGATATTTTACTATTTATAGGTATATATATATATATATATATATATATATATATATATATATATATATATATATATATATATATATAATTGTATATATGTGAACCTATCATTATATTTATATTTTCATGAACTCAGGAAAATAATCTTTGACAAAGTTTCCTATACAATATATCTTCAGGACAATGTTTTAATTAAGAGATGTAATTCATTTAGAGGAATTTGAATCAAGGAGCAACTATAATAGATTAAGTAACAGAAATATTTAAATTATACTAACTCTCATACTAGATCCTCCTCCTCCACCGATAAGTACCACCCCAGACTGCGGGACTGGGTGGGCGCTACGTCCAGGTACGACACTCTGTTATCGACTTGAAACTACAAAAGTGACTTGGGAAAATGCCAATATTGCGTGTAACTCATTTGGGGGAGGGCTGACCACTATAGCTGACCAAGCAGAGAAAGACTACGTTTCAGGTAGTAGCATAACAGTTTTCTTTAAATGCAAAATATACGCACTAGCCGTTGTGGTTATTGTCTTTATTTACTGTCACACAGTCACAATATTCTTTTTTGTATAATGTGCATTATATTTTAAGATATGCAGCATGTCATTGCATGCTGAATTTTTAAAAGCAATAATTTCTATTTTAAGTTTCTTTTAAATCCAAATACTTTCAAAATTAATATTTTTTTGTAAAAAAACATGAAACGTTTTATTAATTTTAATAATTTAAATTATTTACGATTTGTTTTTTTTTCTTAAAACTTTTCTCTAGATTTATTTGCAACACAAATAATCATTTTTTTTACTTCGGTGTTTACTTCCAGCATTTTCTGATAGAGCAAACGATTATCTGTGGATTGGGATGACGGATTCAGCAGGTCAGGGAATCTGGAATTGGCAAGATGCACCATGCGTTTCTTTCATTGACTGGAACCGCGGTAACATATTTTCTAACACACACACATACACATATACCTATATATCTATATATATATATATATATATATATATATATATATATATATATATATATATATATAACTTTTATTTGTTAATAGTTTGAAGGTGTGTATATGTGTCTATATATTTAGATCAGATCATCTGCGTTATTTGTAGAATATTTGGATACGTTAATGTAGAAAGGAATATTACTTTTTAAATTGATAATGTAAAAAAAAAAACGATTTTGTTTTAAAACATTAATAAAATAATTGACCTACTAATTTAGAAATCCGATTTTATTATGCAAACGAAGTACAATGTCTAAATTGTTCAACTAGAAAAAGGTACTACGCCTTTTGTCAGAAGTTATTCAGCTTCTAAGCGGAAAACTAACCTTCGAAGAAAGAAATTGTTGAAAAGTTAAAAGCGTTTTTAAAATGCCGACTGCCAAGAAACTGATTTTTCGTAATTTAAATTGGAAAAAAAACGAAAACCCACAAAATATTATTTAAAATAAACATAAACATACCCAGGTAAACCTTTTTTCTAAGAACAAAGAATTTATTTTTAATCACTTTTAACAAGCGGAACACAATTTGCTTTGTAGAGAATAGCATCCTAAACACCAAGAATTCAATCCGATTTTAGAACTTTAAAAACTTTTATTACCATGAAGTTATTGATCAGTTATTTGTTTCAAAAATTAAGAGAGAGAGAGAGAGAGAGAAAGAGAGAGAGAGAGAGAGAGAGAGAGACATAGGAGAAAACTAATTTAAAAACTTAACTAAATTATGAAAGTAATTGATAACTTTCGACATGTTAATATGGTGTTTTATTGAAAGTAGACGTATACATTTTGGATTTTTTATTTTGAGTAATATTAAGCGGTTGTCTCATATTAGGTTTAAGCTAACAATAAGAAAACCTCAACCCTCCCCCCTTCACAGGTCCCTGTTAGCGTTGAGGAACCGATTTTTTCATGGAGATACTGTTCTCTCTTCCCTCTCCTGCCCTTCCCGTAATTTATAATCGTCAATAAAGAAAGAAGAATATGGATTTTTCTTGTTTAAACTGTATTTAGGAGCCACTTGACCTTTTTTTAATGTAATTCTGGGTCGTCTAGTATATATTTTTTATTTACACACACGGTATGCGAGTGAAGACACACATATTTCCTTTTGTATGTAGTCCTATACGTTAGTCTCAAATGTTGCTACAGTGCATGTGCTTATTATTTTACAATTGTTATGTCGTGTCAAATAAAAAACTCTTCCTATTAAAATTTACCAGTCTCTGGCAACTTTCTTTGCAGTTCTCTGAGATGATGCGACTTTAGTCAGTTTTTTTTCTCCTGTGCATCTCCAAATCTAGCTTGTTCTTCCCTGTTTTCTTTTTTCTTAAGTTGTCCATTTCAGCACCATTCCTGTAATATCGTGTTTTTTTTAAACCTTAAAACGTGGACAATCCAGCACCATTTATTTAGTTAATTTTTTTCTGAAACATATTTCGTTTTTATTTCTCCATGCAATATTCGGCCAGTGGATGCGTTTATTCTCTGCAAGCACTTAATTTCGAAAGAACTCACGTATGCCAGCGATTGTCGCTTACGAGCAATCACTGCCTTACAAAAGGAAGCTAGGCCGTTACTTTTGAACCTACTGCATTTACGCTTGTACGAGATTTCTTCGATCGCCATGTTTTGTCCATGTTTGCAAAGCTTGTTTAGATTTAGATATGCGTGTTTAAATGTCAGTTTTGCAGTATCCTTCATAAATGACAATGGTGAGTAAAGTCTCTATCTTTCGAGACGCGTGTATTGTTTATTTAATTCGATTATTTAATAGATAAATTATGTTAAACGATTTTGGTTTTGACAATGATGTGCTGTGATACTGCTGAACTCTTTCTTTAATTGACAAGTCAATTTTCGTTATTTATCCATATATTTCGTTTAAGTTTCGACTTTGATCAACTAAAATTTCGTTAGCGCGGATCAAATAAAATAATATTTTATATATATAACACAAATGAATATTGTAACATGCAAATAATTTTTCAGGTGAACCAAGTTACGGAAACGGTGGAAAAGAGTGTGCTATATTCCTTATGAAAGTCAGCAACTATACATGGGACGATGTACGCTGCGGCGCAACGTTCCCATACGTATGCAGGAAAGATATTGGTATTTTTTGGTCATTATACATATTTTAATGACATATAATGTGTGGTCGAGTCGGTAAAGCTCATGGTTGCTAAACAGAAAAGTCTCGAGTTCGAACCCTCGGGCAGATGAGGCTCGTTAGCTGGTACAACCACTCTTCTAGGAGAGACAACTCCAAAATCAAACAACTGCTGCCTTGTAGCTTGTTCTTGGTTGGACAAAGGCTATGGAAGCATATCCAACAAGAAAAGCAGGCTGAAATCGGAGTCAATGGCCTCAATGGCGCATAACCAGTTGACACGTATACTTAATTGTGGTGGAGGCGTGGTCGAGTCGGCAAAAAGCTCATGGTTGACAAATTCGAACAAAGTCTCGAGTTCAAACCCACTGGCAGATAAATCTCGATCCCTTTCAACACTAATAATTAAGAACGAAGAAGAAGAAGTATATATATATATATAAACACATTAACATAGATATTTATCTTATTCACACTCACACAAACATATATATATAATGATTTACTTATTTTTTATTCTACACACAGGTCCTGGCTCCGAAACCAATGCGGTAAATAAATACAAATATGTTTAATTACATTTTTAAATGATTGTATTATACAAAGAAAATACAACAACTCAATTTAAAAAAAAAAGTAATAATGAACAAAAAGTCTAATTGCTAATGCTTTGCCACTAAAAATTTAAGCACATGATATTTACATTTCTTTTGGAACGTTAGAAAATTAGAAATATTAATAAACGAATATACAGCCCAAAAATTTAAAAAAATTGCAAACACATTCTGTAATAGCAATTTTTAAAAACATTTTCGCCCTGTCTAGGGATGTAACCATGGATGTAGACACACTCCTGGTTGTACAGGCTACACCTACAAAGGCGGCCAGTGCACTCTACATGTAAGAAAGTACATTGGAACTATGAATGGTGTTGCAACCACCGTTGTTACTTGTGAGAAATGTAAGTCGTTAAAATTTTCACTTGTAAAAATAAGATAGACAATAAGGACTAAAACGTTTAGTAGATTTTGTTTACCTAAAATCATATATATGATATTTCCCTTTGATAAATTGTCCATAACTCATTTGTTCTTATCACACTCTCTCACTATTTCAATATATATATATATATATATATATATATATATATATATATATATATATATATATATATATATATATATAAGTATATATATATATATATATATATATATATATATATATATATATATATATATATATATAATACATATATGTGTGAAAAAACCTGGAAAAATAAATCCACTCAAATGAGAACATGAATATTGATATAAAATGTGAATTAGAGAGCTACTTACATAAAAATTAAAGAAATATTTAAAATCTTGAAATTCTGATAACAGACCCCCCACCAGGGCCAAGAAGACATCGACATAAGTATTATGGTATGTATTTTTTTACCTTATAAACATATAAGCTATTGGACGCTGTTTAACATCTCAAAAGTTGTATTATTAGTAAAATATTAAAAGTGCAAAGCATAATAATTGCTTACGATCTTCTCAACAGATAGCGACTGTGAAGATAACGCAAGATTTGAATTTTCCCATCCGTAAGTTTACTACACTTGATTTTATTATTCCATTATGTAGCCACTTTTACTTACGCCGATTTAGTTAGGTAGACGATAGTTCATATATTATATTCATTAAACTGTATATTTTATTATCTTTTGATCGATTTCCGGTAACAAGATATATTAGTTTACGATATTTCTGTTTAAGTTAGGTAAAGCAATTTCATATATAGCATTTTATTCCGAGATTGCTTTACATTTTTGAAAGACATCCGATAACTTGAAGTTGTACTTTACTATAACTAAAGATAAATTAAGTACCGTTTCACTAGGTTAAAAATATGGGATACATAGGTTTACAATCATGTTGTGTTGTTTCAGTCATATTTTGAGTGATTAAAAGAGACTCGGGGTTGTTCTTTGAGCTGTTTACGGTTTTTCAAAAAATATATTTTCTGCCAAACTGATTTATTTTAAACGTTTAATGTAGGTAAATACTAAATGACAGCGAACTGTGACATAAAGTACGACTTTAATGGAGGTTTAATTTACGTTTTAAAAAATAATCAACCTTTCTTGTATACTGTACTAATGGCTACAGGACATTACCCCCCTGGAAATTACCCCCCGGAATTTCTCCCCGTATTTACCCCCCGGAGCAATTACCCCCCTGTCAATTACCCCCCTGCCAATTACCCCCCCCCCCCCCCGGGGAAATACCCCCCCCCCCCCTCTAAAGTTAGAATCCTAACTCTAACTAGAATTCTATTCCTATATACTACTTTAATCCAAACCTTAAGAAAAAGACCAAAACCTAAACATCCACCTTAGCCTAAAACTTTACACAAAACCAAAACCAACGCTAGTGATTGGTTTAAACTTAACCCTAACCCTAGCTCTAACCCTCTCTAACTCTAGCCCTAACCCTAACCCTAGCCCTAGCCCTAGCCCTAACCCTAACCCTAACCCTAACCCTAACCCTAACCCTAACCCTAACCCTAACCCTAACCCTAACCCTAAACCTAACCCTAATCCTAATCCTAACCCTAACCCTAACCCTAACCCTAACCCTAACCCTAGCCCTAACCCTAACCCTAACCCTAGCCCTAACTCTAACCCTAACCCTAACCCTAACCCTAACCCTAAACCTAACCCTAAACCTAACCCTAGCCCTAGTCCTAAACCTAACCCTAACCCTAGCCCCAAAACCTAGCTCTAACCCTATCCCTATCCCTATCCCTATCCCTATCCCTATCCCTATCCCTATCCCTATCCCTATCCCTATCCCTATCCCTATCCCTATCCCTATCCCTATCCCTATCCCTATCCCTATCCCTATCCCGATCCCTATCCCTATCCCTATCCCTAAACCTAACCCTAACTCTAACCCTGTCCGGAGGGGGGTAATGTCCTACTTGGCGGGGGGTAATTGACTGGGGGGTAATTGACAGGGGGGTAATTACTCCGGGGGGTAATGTCGGGGGGAAATGTCCGGGGGATAATTGACAGGGGGGAAATGCCCTGTTCCCTGTACTAATATTCCAGTCAATTATACATGTATTGTTTACATTCTTTTAGAAGTGTTTTTTTTAACTATTTCTTTTAAATTAAGTATCGAAAAACAATTTAAAACGTGTATAAAAACGTTTTAATAACAATATTTTATAATATTATGCACTAAAAAGGAGAAAATAAAGGATAAATCTTTAAATATAAAATAACGTATATTAATATCGAAGATTAAATTGATATAGTTTTGTAAACATGTTAAAAAAATTGCTAAATTTATAAATATGTATACTCTTAGCCATTTTAATAATTTGTTACATCTTTTTCCATTAGAAGTCCTTTGTTCTCGCGCTTTGCTGCTAAAGGACGTAAGGTAAATTATCAGCTTCATTTACTTGAACATTTTTACATTGTTTATCAAAGCACAATGAAGTCTATACATGTTTTTTTGTCTCTCGTTTTTCTATAGGTAAAAAGTGATCAAGCTGACAGCATGTTTCTTTGGCTTGTGTAAGCCGACGCTAAAAAAAGTGAGAAAACATTAGTTACTTTTTAGTAGACACAAAACAAGTAAAATTCTCAAAAGAACATGTCAATAAATCAATAATCGAGAAAAGTATGTAAGGGATAAAATTTGTTAAGATAATGTCATAATAAATTTGTAATATTTTAAAATGCAAATTTAAAATATAATGACACCTAGAATATTGCAAAACTTTAATCTTTTTTAATCATTCCTCACTCTTAAAAAAAAAAATTTACTTGAATTACAATGCTACATTTTAATAATTCAAGCAGAAGATAAGTAGACGTTTACCAAACATTAACTGTTTTGCTGAAACTATTTGAAAACCATTACATGAGGAATAAATTATCGTACACAGTTTCAGTGATCTTGTAAGATTCGTAAAAAAACAGTTACAAACAGTTACGAAAGCATATTTTCATCATCTGGTAATTAAGTGTAGGCAATAATTTCGGAACGCATCCGATCAACATTAGCTTCACCTTACTAAATAAAGATCTTATATTGACACACATAACTTAGCATCACCAACAAACCATCTATCTTGAAAAAAAAAAGCTTTAGTCAAGCATCATAATTATATCAGTATATATAATCTGTGGACTTTTCAAAACGTAAACAAATAATTCTTTTATATAATTTTGATTTAAAAAAAAAGTAGTTCTTTTATGAGTTTCTGTTTGACCCATATATTTTTGTTTACAGCAAAATGGGCCAAGTTATAATGACATTCTGGAATACATCAAGGTTTAGCTGAGACGTCGTTAATTTTATGGATAATAACATTTTTTTCACTAAACATATATTCATGTTAATGTAGTCTATAAAAAAGCACTGTTCAATAGTACAAGATTGTTTTTATGCATAATGAAACATTAAATATTTGTTTCTTATTTATGTATTACGATTTGTTAAATTTGGCTCGATGTTTTCGATGAATAAAGTTTACACCGTCATTCATATAAAAAGCATCGAAACCAATCGATGTTGTTTAAATACTAAAAATAATTTTAATAGTCTCTTATAGCATTAATTACTTAACTACTTTATCACTTCTTTAATGTTTAATTTCATAAAATGCAATCATTTTCTAAGCTTTTTCAAATAGAAGACATATGTTGTTTGTTTGTTTGTTTTTTATATCACCTGTGAATGTTTTCACTCTTAAATTATTATTTTCTAAACAAAAACTTTAAATATCTTTCTCTTTTAATTCAACAAATACTCTAAAACAATTATATATTTAAAAACCTTATATTAGTTTAAACACTCACTGTAATATTTGAAATAAAGCTTTTCATTTCGGTAGTAAAAAAGTCTTTGATTTTTTTTTAAAACTATTCCTTGTTTTTCAAAAAAGAAAAGAAAATAACTATATAAATGAAAGTACAGCGAATGCGCTTTAAAAAAATAAACGAATGTGTTATATTTATTCAATAGCATGAAATAAAGACAATTTTTTAAAAAGTTCCTACAGCCAAGCGTTGCCGTAGTCTCTGAAGTAAGACTGACGAATTATTTTAAAAGGGTATTATCAATATGAAGGGCTCAGTGGCTTATCAATCTTTTGTTCTCGTTGCTCAATGTGCTTCTAACTTTAATTTTTTTTAAATGTATGTTACAGAGAACGAACAAGTGTAAAAGTTTGATTTTAAAAAAGCACACAAAATTATTTGTCTTTCTATAGTAAAAACAATGAAAAATACCAAAAAAATATAACTTAATTTTGCGATCGACGTAATATATAAAATATAATTAACTATTCGTTTTGGCTAAGGTAGGCTAATTAGAAAAAAAAAGCCATTTCCGAATTTAAATACAAATTCTGACAAACACGTACGTTTACAAATACTGTTTAAAATTAAAACAATGATTAAAGCCTGCAGCAACCAAAAAATCAAACAAATAAAATGTAAAAAACAACTCTTAAACTTCAATATAACCATAACCATAACCATAACCATAACCATAACCATAACCATAACCATAACCATAACCATAACCATAACCATAACCATAACCATAACCATAACCATAACCATAACCATAACCATAACCATAACCATAACCATAACCATAACCATAACCATAACCATAACCATAACCATAACCATAACCATAACCATAACCATAACCATAACCATAACCATAACCATAACCATAACCATAACCATAACCATAACCATAACCATAACCATAACCATAACCATAACCATAACCATAACCATAACCATAACCATAACCATAACCATAACCATAACCATAACCATAACCATAACCATAACCATAACCATAACCATAACCATTACCATTACCATTACCATTACCATTACCATTACCTGAACCTGAACCTGAACCTGAACCTTAACCTCAACCTTAAACTTAACCTTAACCATAACCATAACCATAACCATAACCATAACCATAACCATAATCATTATCATAACCATAACCATAACCATAACCATAACCATTACCATTACCTTTACCATTACCATTACCAGAACCTGAACCTGAACCTGAACCTGAACCTGAACCTGAACCTGAACCTGAACCTGAAACTGAACCTGAACCTGAACCTGAACCTGAACCTGAACCTGAACCTGAACCTGAACCTGAACCTTAACCTTAACCTTAACCTTAACCTTAACCTTAACCTTAACCTTAACCTTAACCTTCACCTTCACCTTCACCTTCACCTTCACCTTCACCTTCACCTTCACCTTCACCTTCACCTTCACCTTTACCTACACCAGCTTCAACTTATTTTAACCTAAACTTTTGCCTTAATTGTAACACTAACGCTTAACTTAATACAGACACTAACGCTATGCCTTTACCTGCCTTCATCCACTATTATAGCCACTTCTCCAACCGTAGACAGTAGCCTACTCCTATAATTATTTTTTCTCTTCTTATTTTGCCAATCACATATTTGTATTACAGACATTGATTTCAATGACCCACTTCAATTCGTGTACACAAACGGCACCAAAAGTTTAAAAAATGTCATACTTTATCTAAAGTGTCGAATAATTTGGGCGCAGCTTGCGTAATATGTTGGGTTTGACACATGCTGGGCCGGTGTTTGGTCGGGTAGTGCGTGTAAGGCAGTTATAATTCCAACTTGTTTAAATTGTATACAGGGAACTTTTTTATATTGAAGGCTAAAATGGTTTCATGTATTTTAGTTTTTCGGTTGGGTTTTTTTTTCGCCTAGTTTGCAGACGCCCAACCTGTATCTGCTTATTTGACATTAACCCCGTTTTTCGACAACGCCTTATAAGGTAATGTAGGGTAAGGTCTATCACATGGCGTGTTGTTTCGGCTGGGTGATTTTAACACCTAAGCTTGAAAATTTTCCGGCGCACGGGGCGCATAGTGGTAAAATTGTATTTCTTCTATATAAATATAATTCGTTCTAGCGGGCGGTAAATGTTCTTGGGAGGGGGGAGAGGGGTTGGGTTAGCCGCCGCTCCCCCCCCCCCCTCCGCCTAATCGATACACGAAAGGAACTTGCAATAAGACTTTTGTCAAATTTGAGCTTAGATGCTAGGCTTAGCGGTATGACTCAGACTATATTTAGTATGAACGTTAGTAGCTACCTGTGGATGAAAGTTACCAGATAAAATTGTATATATATATATATATATATATATATATATATATATATATATATATATATATATATATATATATATATATATATATATATATATATATAAATATATATATATATATATATATAGATATATATGTGTATATATATATATATATATATATATATATATATATATATATATATATATATATATATATATATATATATATGTATATATATATATATATATATATATATATATATATAGCAGAGGGGGTGTCTATGTGTGTTTGTGTGTAAGTTTCTCTCACTTTTGGTGTGCTTGTATGACTATTTGTCTGCTCATGCGTATTTCTCTGTGTTTATTTGTGTCTGTGTGTTTGTTTGTATAGACGTAAGTTCATGTTTGCTTCTTGGTCTGTCATATCTTTACCAGCTTATGCTTATAGTAGGCAGGTTAAAGTTTTCAAACGTTACGAAATAAAGTTACACTACCACTATGTTGAAAAAAAAAACATCTTGCAAGATTTACGAAGCTGATAAAGAATGTAAACCAGTGAGCATTTGGGCTTTAAACTAGTGCAGCAGAGTCTGAATAGCGAAGCAACCTTTCTTAGAAAACGGCTTTACAAAAATGTGCCTCAATCGAACTTCCTATAATGAGACACCCTAACACAAATCTGGAACTAAATTAAAAATGCTCAGCAAAGCGTGACGATATTCTACGTCAATAGCCGCCGTCCTGAAAGACCTCTGGGACGTTCTCACCAGTTTCAAAATAGCCCAGTGGCGTAGCGAGGTCGGGTATCACCCGGTGCGGTACTTAATCGTGTCACCCCCCCCCCCCCAGAGGCGTTGCGACCCTTCCCGGGGACAAACTTCAAAGTTTTCGATTTGCACCCCCCCCCCCCTCTCAAGTTTTCGATTTGCACACCCCGCTCAAGTTTTTCTCTATATATTTTGCTATTTTTTGCCTTGGTGTCACTTCATTTCAGTGGCTCTGCTGCTGTTTTACGTGTACTGAACAGTGTTTCTTCCATGCAGCTTTTCTCTGTGTGATGACGCAAGATTACGTCAGACATGTTTAGCAGATATAGGTTAGCAGAAACAGACTATAGGCCTAGTTGGTTGGTTAGAGAGGCCAATGGGCGCACAGGGCTGACCGGTCACGTGGGACGGTCAGCTGACCACTGAAGCGTGGGCCACTGTTAGGCCGGGAGATCATGATTAGCTAGCGAGGGCAGAAGGTGTTAGGTTGCAGAATGGAGCAGATGTAGTTATGTAGAGAACAGTTAGAATGTAGATAGTGGTAGGATGGGACATGGAAGGGCGTGTTAGTAGAGTTAGTAATAGTAGTGGTAGTAGATATTATTTAACAGGCTAGTTAGGTAGAAACTTGATTTTTATAATTTTAATAAAGAACTTTGTATTTGGAACTGAACTGTGTGTTATTGGATTCATTCGTTCCGCCTTTCGTAAAATCCCCACCCTCACACTCTGGTTGGGAAGGGGGGTGGAAAGGGAGGCACCGCGTGAATCCCTTCTACTGCCCCCTTCCCCCGAAAACATAATTTATATCGAAAATACATACCTTTACAAGTGTCCGACCTTTATCCCAGCCCCAAAAGCTGCTATTGCCGCAAACCCCCCCCCCTCTTCCCCACAGACACACTCCTGGTGATAAAAGCCTGAAAGAAATACTGGTACTGAATAATATTCTCTTCTTCATGAGTAGCTATCACGAATGCAGTCACTTCACTAGTTTTTAAAAAATGAACATTATATTACAGAGAAGTTTAAAATATTAGGCTAATTTAAGGATTTCAATTTAACAGCATTTGTAATTACTATTAACTTAATGATAACATGTTTTCCGTAACTTTAAAAAAAAATAATTTTTCTTCTTAAAAAGTTCTCGTGTGAATTCCTCATTAAATTTTGACTTTTTTTTTGTAATTCACAAAGGTTATAAAATAGTTTTTTTGCTGAACAGAGTCGTTTACATTTTCATTCACCAGTGCTAAAATGCTTAAAACCGAGTATCGTAACTCCCCCCTCCCCCATCGAAACTACCCTTACTCCAAGCCCCCCCCCCACACACACACACACATCAAAGAAAAAACTCCGCTATATGCGAAACTCTAAGGGGCGAGGTAACTGCTATTTTGAATTTTATTTTCAAACTTGAGCGGCTTCAATGCTTTCTGTGCTTTCATGTGTAACACTGAGATTTTTAAATTGCTTTTTAAGTTATGTAAACTAATACATTGACAAGTTTTAAAAACTAGTTTAGCAGCAGAACACGTAGCTCATAGCTCCAGTTAATAGCTGATCATTTGAATTCTACTTGTAGTGAAAGTCAAATAAGTACGTTACTTATTCATTACCGTTTACACCAGGGGTCTCCAAACTTTTCAGTCCGAGGGCCGCATTAACTATAAAATTTCACTTCGAGGGCCGTTTCTTCCAGGCATGTCTTAGATTTTTCTGAACAAAGTTCCTCAGCCATCATCAACAAACGTTTTTCCCGTGGACAAAAAGATCTCCGCGGGCCGGATGAGAGGACATCGCGGGCCGCATCCGGCCCGCGGGCCGTAGTTTGGAGACCCCTGGTTTACACAATCACTTACCATCTGCAGGGCCGGCGCTGTCTATAAGGCGAGCTAGGCGGTCGTC